TGTACAGTACTTGATGTTCTCGTTAGGACTGTAACCCATACTGTACCTACAGTGTACAGTACCTTCAATGACATTGCACGGTAGTGATGTTCTCGTTAGGACTGTAACCCATACTGTACCTACAGTGTACAGTACAGCACCTTCAAAGACATTGCACGGTACTGTACTCAGTGTACTGTACAGTACAGTACTGTACTTGATGTTTTCGTTAGGACTGTAACCCACACTATACCTACAGTGTACAGCACCTTCAATGACATTGCACGGTAGTGTACTCAGTGTACTGTACAGTACTTGATGTTCTCGTTAGGACTGTAACCCATACTGTACTTACAGTGTACAGTACCTTCAATGACATTGCACGGTAGTAAAGGTCATTGAATTCGGTAGGCGTGGCCAAAGCAGAAAAGCAACTTTATTTTATACAGTACCGTACAACACTGGCTTTTAATTTAAAGCTTCCAAACACCTTGCTGTAGTACTGGACACTGTATAGGACGACTGGACGAGTCCGTGCAGAAAGATAGCGAAGGAGAAAAGTGTTCTAGCTGACAACCATACATAGTAGTATACTGTACAGTACAGTACTACTGGAAAGTACTGCCATCCTACTGTCGCTGTTGCATATTACACGGTCGTACTGGAAGCATAACAACGCATACAGTCTACACTGGATAGTATATAGGCTACATCGTCTAGGCGTTTGCGAAAAATATGCTCAAGTTTTCAAACACTACCGCGCTTGAGCACACTGAACTCAGATTGTGTTGGAAGAATTGTGATTTGATGCTATAAAATAAAATCCAACAAAAATTGAAATAGACAGCCACGTTGATGTATACTATAGGAGATACTGACAGTGAGAGAGAGAGAGAGAGGGTAATACACTAAAAGATCACATGGAAGACTAACCCATTTCAATGTATGTGTCTCTTAATGCCAATCTATAGTATAGCATAGTGAAATCTAGAGTCCACGGAGGCAGCGTCAACAGTCGTTCATCCAACGATTCACCAATTCATCCATCATTCCTTTTTTCAGAAATTCGCGCTGAATAACTCATTCTTATGACTGTATACGAGCGTATACTAACTAGCCTCTTATCATTAACTCTATTCATTTTGCTTCTACGCTAACTGGCTAACAATACTTCCAAAATGATCGAATCAAAGTCAACATCCCACCGCATGTAGTAGTATGATGGCATTGGATTACAGTACAACGCATTATACAGTGCCGAGAGTCGTAATTTGTACATAGGTAGCGCGATTAAGTAAAGTTTCCCTTTCAACCGGCCGCTAGAATAAACTATTCACAGGACGCTATCCAGTTGTCCAGATCCTATTCTCGTTAAAGAGTAGAAGGGTCTTTCCCAATTGTTCCCAATGTAATTTACCAAAACTTGTTGAAGCGAACTACTACTGTATTTAGCCAACATGTTAGCAATCCCCGACATACCATAAACAGTTTACTGGCCAGTACGGTTAAACTGTGATTGCCCCTGCTTACAGTACTGTAACGCACACTAACAAGAACGCTTACCCAAACGTTGGGTAAACGTCACTGCTTCAATCGACTACATTTTAAAACAAAAATTAGTTGTAAAAATTCATCCATTGCAATGCAACCATTTTAAAGTACCAACAGTGACAAGGTGCGTTAGAGTTACAGTATAGCACATGGTCGATTTCAGTCACTAAAACCAAGCATTGGAAACCGTCATGATTTGGTTACATCCGCTAAGCACCCAACTATGTTTTAAATATTCATTCAAACCGATCGGTTGACAGAGAGTCAGGCAGCGAGCGTATCTAACCGATTAATTCCATGAAATTGTGTTAAAATGCACAGACGTAATGAATCAATCATGTAGATCTAACTTTGATGAATTGAAATAGAAAAGTGGTGTTCACAAGTACGTGATCAAGGATTAAAGGATGGAACAAAACAGCCAGAATAGAAAGAATAGTGTGCATATTGCAATAAGAAAACAACTCATTCCATCGTTACTATTGAAGTACATTAGTGAAACGGATATACAAGGAAATATAAACATAAGGGAGATGCTCTTTCAAAAACGAACAGCAAAGGGGCTGCCAGCAGACACGAAGAGAACTGATGTCAACAATGAAGCGTAATGACCCATCAAAACGCTATCTTCTAAACAGCAATTTGAATGTATCGTAATGTCAATGGTCGAAGTGCAACTTGAAACTTGAAACTAAATTTATACATATTACAATCACTACCATGACTATTTGTGCCTCAGATATCAACCCTTTAGCCATCCAACAAAATATGGCATTACGGATAAGGTAATTTTCGTCAGATCATAAAGCAACATGACAATCAGCAAATACCTCATTGACTAGTCTTACCTGAATCTTTCGCTGTTCCGACATTGCGCCTCCACTCTCACTGAATGTCGCGCAGGCGCATCTTACACCGGAGAATAAACATCATGGACGGCAAGGGTCACATGATGCACTACAACGGAGTTCCACCTCCGTTGCTCTTGCCGACTATATCACGTGAGTACTGCAGCCAATCATGGAATCACGCCGATAATGAATCCCCTTGGTCAACTTGGAACGAACAGGAAATATTTACAGTGCAATACTCTACAGTAAGAATGTAAAGTACTGTACTGTAGTGGACGAGAATGAATCACTTCGTCAACTTGAAAGGAACAGTCAATTTTACAGTACTGTACAGTACTGTACAATACTGTACAGTCTACAGTACTGTAGACAGTAGTCAGCACACCAAAGTTAGTCGGCCATCATCTCAGTTCACGTCAAATTGGAGGTTAGTTGGTGAATTATAGTTCTTGACTAAGTTGAAGTTGAATTTGTCTCTAGAGCAGACGATTGCAACCTCAAATTTTTCAAGTACAGTATGTACATTGTACAGTTGTAATAGTTCTGTTCTTTTAGTACGCTCAGTCAAAGTACTTTGTACTACCATGATTCATCGTCCATGATACATGCCAGCTTGGCGGCACGTGCAGCATTCAAAAATAAGGTACAGTACTAACGACCTAACCAACCATAGTTCAGTAAGCAGTAAACTGTACACCGAGTCATGGATTACTCGGCCATCATCTCAGTTCACGTCAACTTGGAGATTAGTTGGTGAATTAGTGATGACAGTGCTGCATTTCTGCAAGCTTTCACTGACGTCATACGGTACAAGTACTGGAATTCGCCACATTAATCCGGCTCGAGTTCAATCCATAAAACATCAAACCAAGTAGTTTCATTGCAGTACTGTACACTCAAAGTAAAACCATAGAAAATAGTCCGCTGTCATAGTGATCAACGCATTTTTCAAGTGCGTCAATACGTAAAACAGATGTCGTCGATGAAAGGGAAATTGCATTAAAGTATATAGACTTTCGAAATTTTTCTGCGACATCTGTTTTCGAGCTATAGTACTCAGTGTACAGCACACTGTTCCGAGAAAACTATCATGCGCAGTACTGCATCACCACGCAAGTACAGTACTGTTAATAATAATAATAATAATAATACAGTACTGTAATAGTAAAATGTACTGTACTGTACATTGTACTGTAAAAGATGGACTGTACACTGTACAGGTCAGGAGTCCTTTGTGCATTTTAATTAAAGCACCGAAAAATTTCGTCAATGATTGATTGATTATTGTACTGTATATCGAATTAATGGCTAGTTAGAAAGCGATATTGCTCTATTAATTATCGTAGCTATCAATCCATCTAATTATTATCTTGCGAAACAGTTCTGTAAACTTGACTGAATGCAACACTCATGCAGACCAGTTACTGATTTCCCCTCGCTGGCAAAGAAAAGTATGATTGAATTGCATCAATATTGAATTCTTGATCGATTTCAATTGCCTTGCTAGTAAATTAAAGTAATTTCTATTTCCTTCCTACTAGTTTTGTACAGAATTATATCATGGCTTATAAATAATGAATCCATTCCGCGGATGGTATGATGCTATGAATGATTAACGATCGCACACTAGCTCGATATTAAGATGAAACGTAATATTATCGTTATCTATGCAATAGCGTGAATAATTATATCATTATTATGGAGACCTTCTTTAGAGTGTATTCGTTGGTAAGAATTATTTATTTAGATAATGATATAATTCATCGACTGTATATACATGATATAATATAGCGTATCACCGATATTATTGCTGATAACAGCGTGCGCTCGAATTGTCGGCAAGTAGAAAAAAAAATCGGCGGTATACATCAGCTGTACCAGATAAACAATTTAAATTACATGACTGAATAGGCGTTTATGCCGTAGGAGTAATTGCATTTTTTAGCAGTTCATGCATGAATCATATTGAATTCTCCAGGTGAAAAAGCATCTCAAGTGCAAGTGAGATGTTATTCAGGATATATAATATAAAATAAAAAATACCGAGATTCCAATATCGATGTCGATAACTTGACAATAATCTGTAAATCAAAAACATATGTTAAATTTTGACAGAACTATAATAAGCAATAAATTAATTAATTCTTATGTAATTTAGATAGCCTATCATTTATTTCATAACGATTGATTTTGTACAGCCAATATGCAATCAAAAATGAATCTGATCTTATCTCATTTACTAGTATTGCTCAAATTTGCAAATACGTAGATAACGATATTGAGAATTCAGGTTAGAGACGATATTCAGCTGATAGTGTGTTGACTACAATTTTTGTCATCATCTATATCCAATGCAATGTGATGCTTCAAAAAATGTAAACCGGAAAATACAAATAAATTATCCGCGATATCGTGATCTATTCATTCACTCTTAACTACATCATTTCCCATATAAATGCTCTGTAGTAAACAAAAATTATCTTTACATTATTCATACCGCATTATGGAAACTTTTAAATGCGATGGTATTGAATTAAAAACTATTGTTTTAAAATATTCCTTATAGCCGAAATAATTATCTTTTTAATATCATTAAAATATATTGGATAATATTCATTCCTAGAGGGCCTTATCTTGACGACCGTGCTCTATTGACGCCATTAATTGAAGGGTAGTTGACGGCGTCATAGCAAAACTTTTGGATACACGATGCTGCTGTTGTGATGGCAGCAACGATCGATGAAATATTCTAGTGATCGCACTCTTAATATCGGCTGTATAGTAGGCATATACCAAAGGATTAATTCCTGGATAGGAAAATGCCAAAAATCGTGTTATTTTAATAGCTAGTACATCTGATTCTGAAGGATGTAAATCCAGTTGAATAACTAGGAAAGCTATAACAAATGGTGTTTGTAATACTATGAAGATACCGATTATAACAGCTGTTTGTACAATTGCTTTACGATTTTTAACAATGTTTCTAGTAGATATCGCTCGTCTAGAATGAGATTGATTACATTGACGACTAACAACTGTAATAGTCATTGATTTACTTGTTATTTTACAGGATATCATAATTAACCTACCATAAACCACGATTATAATCAACAGAGGTAAGAAAAAGAAAGTGCTATAAATGAATAGTTGAAATATAAGTTCAGCTTGAAGATCGCTTGAGTAAGATATGCATTTATGAGACTCATGAATATTACGAAAAGTGTATAATGGTAAAGTTGTTATCACAACTGAGATAAACCATATTACTACGATAGCTACAATAGCTTTCTTGACAGTAGCATGCTTTTGATAAGAAAATGGTGCCGATACAGAATAAAATTTATCTAAACTAATAAGGCAGACATGAAAATTTAAATTGATGATTGTAAAATGTCCAATTTGAGGTAAAATACTGCATAGTAGTGGACTTATATCATTAAGATCAGGTATAACCAATCGAGGATATAGGTAAATAATAGCAAATAACATACCAACAAATGACATGCTAGTTAAAACAGTTATATTAACGGTCTTGTTAAGTTGCTTTGATAAAATAATTAGGGCCATACCAAAGTTGGTTAAAATTGTCGCATTGGCGATTGTAAACCAGGCCAAATCGATCGTTATTGAATTTGTGGTGTTTCCTGTAGGTAAAGCCGATGCATTAAACATGTTGGTAACCTCTATGGAGGTAGCACTGATATTAGAAGTATTGTAACGGTAGAAATGATAATTTAACATCAAGGCTGTCATACTTTGCGATAACATGCAAAAACTACATTATTCAATGAATTTGTAGCTAGGCCTTTCCTTCACTCTTTCTGTAAGTAAGACTAACTACCTGACTGGATGTTAAATATCTAATAGTGTAGCTCTCTTTTACCAAAAAGACAATTCTTATTGGATTAGTGTACTTAATGATATTCAAAAACTTTACATTGCTGACATTACTTCCGCTCTTATGGAACACCTGTCATGATAAAATTAATTGCTAGTAGTTAATTAACAGATTGATTTATTTAAACTATTGGAACAATCTTTAATTTGAGAAATGAAAAATAAATAAGGACAGATTATAAATAGTTGGTATTTACGGTAAATACATTGGTGATCTGTAGATATAATCTAACATATTGCGTAGTAGAGATTAGATAATATAACATTTAGCATAAAATTGTATAAGCAGTACCATATTATATTTATCTTTTAGCTAATATCAGTATTTCATGCCATTGGGTGGATAACAACCGTACTCAGTAATAGATCTATATACAGCAAGAGTGATAGTATAGTATTAACATTTTTGTAAATTATATAAAAGTGAGCATTAATATTAACTATAACTTTATTCGATTATTATCATAAGGTGATCTGCGCAATAAAATTTTAGGAATATTACTAAGAACTATTAAGGTTAAGGGTTACGGTAAAAGGAATAATTTAAACCATTGTTGAACGGTTTTGAATTGATATTCTATTGTAAACTATTAAAATATTATTGCGGGCTTTATTATTCAGCTGTAATCAGTAGCTTATTTTCACCTATTATAAATAATCATCAATCATACTTATTGTACAAAGATTATTAGTAAGATAGACAAGAATACCTATTAATATTAAGTATCGATTTCAATCGAATAACTAGTGGTATCAATGAATTGTTTATTGAAGGTTATTAGTTAGTAAATGGTAATTTTTCTAATACAAATTAATCATACTTGTTTAAATTGATTTCATAAATGGCCTATAATTGTATTTTTTTGTGTCGATGGACAGATGCGCTCCTATTGTACAATTTGGAAATAAACTTTAATTGAATCAATTATAATAACGTTATATATCGATAAAATTGTATTAAAATAGTAAATTTTATAATAATAAAGGCTATTTGAAAAAGAAAATGAAACTATTATCGTATACTGGTTAATTAGAATAAAAGAAATAAGAGAAATAACTTTACTCATCAACTGAGTTTAATATGACATTTTTATGTATCGGATAAAACACTATTGTTATTGTCAGAACCGTAAAACTGAAATTAGTGAGTATTATCATAAATCGCAACTAATCACCTTAGCTGAGTGTTTTATTCTCGCCATATCGATGATATTGCGTGAGAGCATAAAAGAATTTTGTCCGCTAATTATTTAGTAATGAAAAGGCATTCAATATAAGCCTAGATTACTTCCAGTAGAATTATACAATACATCAAAATCTTTTACTAAAGCTAAACATATTAATAAATAAGAAATCGAGGAAATTATTCTACCCTGGATAGATAGATTGAATTGAATACATCATAATAGTAATCGCAATGATAATATTTAGATTGGAATACGTCATCGATAGAACTATTTCAAATATTCTGTTGTTCGAACGAATCAGCTCCTCGTTTCATTCACAGGGCTATGAACTTGAACTTTCAGTTTGCTAGCATTAAATCGCGATAATAATAATTACAGTATATACGAGCATGCAATCAATCACTATTTGCAGAGCAATTTATTACATTTATTCATTCTTTTTATCTAATTTAGATATCATAAATATTGTTACTTATGCTATGATTTTCGCTATTATAACTGTATTTAGCCGTTTGCTACTGCAAGATAGAAGCAATATATAACAAAAAGTTATGGCTTTATTCTACTGCACTATTTGCATTAAATATGATACCTAGTAAGAAAAATGTTCACCTTAGAATTTCTATTTCGTTCAACGATGTCACATAATCGTTAACTTAACTACTAATATTATAAGCTATAATATAGAAATGGTTAACTAAATTTAGTCATACGAGTCTCTTCTCATGCTAAAATCTTATAAAAATGTTACAAGCAATGTCGATAAGATTCATCACCTAGTTCGAGTCCGTAATAGACAATCTTTCAACGCTAAATCCTATTAGCGCTTGTCTTAGAAGTTTGCTTTTATCTCTATGGACTTTCTAGACAATCTTAAAAGAATTTATACTGGATTTACACAGAGTTAAAAGTATGATAGCCGATGCTTATTCCTTACGTTAACTCAGACTTTTTCTAAGCAAGCGGACATGATAATTATTTGAGTGTCAAAAAAAAATTTAACGTTCAATAGTTACGGTATGATTAAATCACATTCTATCTTATAATATTATAATATATTCGAGATCTAACTTAATGCAACCGAATCATTGACAATAAATCAATGTTTAGCAGTCAGACTTAAAGGTTTCGGCTAAAATAGATACAGTCAAAAGATTCATTTTCATGAAAATGTTGAATAATTCCGATAAGATTTCATGTACCCGCAAATATGATAATATTTACATGTAACCAATATGTACTTGCTATAATTAACGGAAATGAACAAAATTGAGAGATTTTAAACTAAAAGAATAAAGATTTCTATAAATTAAATATGCTGCAATGGAGACTTTCTTTTAATGTACATACAATTTCATTTCAGAGCAATATCACTTTACAAGTCATTAATCGGAAGTGTTGTTAAAAATTACAACATGGTGGCTATTGGTATCTTTCAATCGCGACCCATCTGCTTTTAAGGTATATTTAACCTGATATTATCTGATTCTATAACCTACTCTGAAAGCTAATACTCTAAATTAATTAATGTCGTAATTACTATAACACTACTGGCTCTATCACCACTCAACAAGGATATTCACTTAAACATTGCATTTAACAAAATAGCACAATGATTATCGTGAAAAATCTTGTGTTATGATTTAGGCGTGAATGACTTGACAGTCGGATGGGATTTATCATGTTCATCTATTGGAAATTTAAGTCTATTGGGAAATTTTTCTGATAATATCTTGAACATATCGATGATTTTACTATTGTATCGTATATGAGATGCTTTTCCACTACCGTATTAGAAATAAAGGAAAAGGCAATCAACGCTATCAATGCAAATTCTGTGAAAATTTTGCGAACTAAGCAATTACTTGCTGTTAGCAATTTTAAATTAATTCACTATTTCTTACCAGAGGTACATACTATAATACGAAATGAGGCACAATTCTTTGGCATCAATTATTTTCTTTTTAAGTGTTATTTCGACATTATTAATAAAATGAATTCAAATATCTTTTATACTGGAATTCATGGTTTAATCACGACGTTTTTACGAGAACATCGGAAGAGAATATAAGATATTATTTGGCAAGTTAGTCTTGATGTCCCGGGATTAGCTTACTCGATAACACTAGTAAACACTTATTGCTTTTAATAAATGTAAAACAACTTTATTACCAAGAGACTCAAAAGAGTATTACGGTAAATGAAAACATGACTAATGGCCCGGTCTCCGTTTTACAAAGGTTATGAACTCGCGATTGCGATTTTGAATGGTAATTCTTTACTATTACCATATATGAATGAAAAGCATAACTTTACACTATACTGGTTGTTGATTGATGATGTTAACAATTTTGCTATAAAGGTTTTATATGGAATTGTTATTGCAAATTGCATGTTTTATTGCTATTAAATAACTGTTACTAAAAATATTTTTCGGTATCTGTCCATAAATAGTATTGTCTACTCCAAACTATTTTAATAGTTAACCTAACGAATGATGTATTCGGTCGCATTGGATTTGATAATTTCTCCGTTTTCCATCTAAATGATAATCGCTTTTAACAATATCTAAAGCAATAGTTGGATATCTGAAAATCAAACATGAATACCCTGAAGATTTCATTTGAAGTTAGTCGGTTGCGATCAGGGATTTTCAAATATCATATTCCATGCAATCGTAGGGCTGTCTTTAATATCCTCAATGAAAATTTAAACGCTTCTATTTTTGTTCATGGCTACCTTTCGTATACACCAATAATTGATTGAGTTAAGAAATGACATGTTATTTGTTATTTTGAAATTGAGGAGATTATTTTTAAACAGTTCTTGTATACTATGAACAATAACTTGGCTTACATATTATCCTCTTTTAATGGAGTTCTATATCCAGATCGTGTATGATGTTTTCCAATCATGTTACCCTCCGATTTATTTTCTATTTATTTTTTATAATTATGGCCTGCGTATTCGCTAAGTAAATTAGATACAAGCTTGAAATGAAATATAAGCACTTGTTATTGGACGATGAAGGCATTTCCAGAAATTTTTTTATGGTACCATTGACAATGTTCATGACTTGGCCATGATGAAACTTGTTACATGGCTTTTATATTATATTCTTTTCCAACAAACTATCACCTATTTTAAACTAGTTCACTGCAAATCAATTACTCATATTGCAACTGGTAAATATCATGTTACTAGACCAAGACAGATTGATCCATCAACTAATCATTTTAACCGCCGCAAGTATAGCTTGTCTATTTTTGATCAAGATATTGTGTTGGATTTACGCCGCAATGAAGAACTGCTGACAGCTAATTTTTTTCATCAACTTCAAGCCGCTGATGGCCGAGGAATTATCCTAGATCATCAAATCGACGGATGCTTTTATCATGGAGTTGTTAAAATTAATGGCAAGGTTAGTTAATGCTATTTTTGCTTTCCGATTCTCAATGTAAAAAGTGCAATAGTATTCATATTTAATTTAAAGGTAGATAAAGAAGTTATTTGCCATCGTAGTATTAATATCGGAATTAAACAGAGATCGATTTTTCCGATTAAAAGATAGAATATCCTTATAAATTATTACATAAAGCACGCATCTGTATTCAACGCTACGAAGAATCTCTTTATGATCTATACTACCAGTAAATAATATATGCTACTATCTAATAGTACTCTGTGTGTTGCTGTTGCGATGCATTTATTAGAAAAAAATGAATAGTATATTTCAGAGCAAGGTAAAATAAATAAAGTAAGCTTGTCGCCAAGTCGTAATAGTCAATCTTAGATGTTGCAAGACATTTGCACAAAATAGAGTAAAAAAAACCTGCAGAGCATTAAAGTGAGTTAAAGTATCGAGAAAAATTTGAACTCTATCGTTCTAACTGGTATATACTACCAGCATGCACTGCTGATGAAATACAATTAATTTCTTACGCGGTCATGGATTAGTTTATCCAAATTTTTGTTTATCCCTGAATATAAAATACACTTTGGAATTTATTGCTATCATATCTGTATGATTACACTTGCTAATCTTGTATTATTCTTGATATTTACTCAATCGTATTTACATAAAGGGTGTACTATATTGAAATAATGATGATTGCTGACTAGATAGAATCTCTTTTTTAATGACACTTTTATTTGGGCCCATTTTATTTCACATGTATAATTAAATGATAATTATGACTAAGTTAATACGATTAATGATTATTATCTATTAAATTTATACTACCATAGATACCGTTCTTGCTATGTTCACAAGCTACATTATTATATCGGAATTACGCATAAGTTTTGTTCATCTGTATCATGGCCATAAGATCCCTAATATCAAGATTGCAATATTGTAGCTAAAAGTTGAACGTTTTATTCGCAAAGGCTAACCTCAAAGTTCTAGATATTAACAGATCTCACAGTTAACAGAATACAATTAGCGTAAACAGCATAATTCAATCGATGTAATCTTTAAATTCGCTTGATAAATACTAAAAAGAATCTGTGTATCAACTCAATTTATAAGAAAGCCATCTATTTGAAGCCAGTAGCTATTTGAAAATGCATATGTGCCATAATTGATGATATCCTATAAACTGCTCTAAAATTTTTATTTTGGGGTTATAGGTTGTCGATCATTCAGGAGCTGCCATCAGTACATGCCGTGGCTTGAACGGACTAGTCCAGATGATGAATCAAAGTTATATTATAGAGCCTTTAAAAATTTTGGATGATAATGATCATATCGTGTACGATCCAAAAGACAGTAGTAGAACGATGCGCTCTAATCGATGCGAACTTGAAGATGAGAGATCTAATGAGATGCCAACAGATTTAATCAGTGACGATTATTATAGGGAATTCCTTAAAATGGCTCGTAAAAAACGTAATGTTTATAGTGATATGAAATACATCGAGCTATTGCTAGTAGTAGACAACCGATTGGCTGGACAATTTCAATTTGAAAATGAATTAATTAAAAATTATGTTATACAGGTTGGCAGTATGCAATGTAATATCATATTGTAATTGATTTATTTCATTAATTATATTGATTAGGATTCGGTTATTCTACAGAAATTTATTGTCGACTACTATAGCCAGATTAAATTTTACCTTACTCTTTAGGTGGCTAATATTTTAGATATGGGATTTAAGCAATTAAAGGTTCGAATTGCTCTCACGGGCTTAATAACATGGAATGTTAAAGACGAAATCGATGTTACACCAGATACACTTGGTACATTGAATCGATTTAGTGGTTATCGCTCTAGTCAATTGGAAAAATACCCTAATGATAACGCGCAATTATTAACTGGTATAGACCTCGCTGGTGGGACTGTCGGTAATTCCATTAAGATTTATTTAAGTTCAGTTTTGAAAATGGTGTATGCAAGTCTTTAATGATTTTAGCTGTAACTCATTTTAACGGTGCAACATCTAATTACATAGGAATGGGATTTATTTCCACTATATGTATGTCGAATTCGGTTGGCATTAGTATGGCGGCCCAAGAAAATCCTTATTTTACAGCTGCAATTACTGCCCATGAATTAGGGCATAACTTGGGATTTCAGCATGATACTGATGTACGACAGTGTACTTGCCATGGTCAAATATCATCTACGGGATGCTTTATGTCTGCTGTTCTTGCTGGTCCATTACCAACCCAATTTTCCAGTTGTAGTCAGCAAGATCTGGAAGAAAGCTTTTCTGAAGGTTTAGGCTCGTGTTTATTTAATATTCCAACAAAACTATATACTAAGCCATCCTGCGGTAATGGATTTATTGAAGAAGGTGAACAATGTGATTGTGGCTCTGTTTCTGAATGCCAAGATCACTGCTGTAATGCTTCCACATGTATGTTAGCGCCACATGCTGCTTGCAGTACTGGACCTTGCTGTCATCAATGTCAATTTCAAAAACGTGGTGAACTATGCCGTGAGCCTGTTAATGATTGTGATTTAGCAGAATATTGTAGTGGTCATGATAGCCAATGTCCATCAAATATCGTCAAGCAAACTGGCATCGATTGCGCCAATGGAGCTGGATATTGTTACGATGGAGCTTGTTTAACACATGATGAGCAGTGTAAAATTGTCTTTGGTGATAATGCTCAAAGTGGCCATGGCGTATGCTGGTATTACGTGAATACTAATGGAGATAGTGCAGGATATTGTGATAAAGTGAATGATAATTATATTGCATGTGCTCCTCAAGATGTTCGATGTGGTAAATTACAGTGCCAGGGAGATATTAGCCATCCTGTTATTGGCTCTTCCTATGTATGGACATCAACCACACTTTATGGGGTAAACTGACAAGCAGTTATAAGATAGGCATATATCAAGGGTAGCTTTAGTTCTCAGAAAGCGTGTTTGTTGTTTTAACTAGGGAGGAAAAGAATTCACATGCATTAGTGCAGTTATCGATATGGGAGCGGATGTACCAGATCCAGGCGTAATTACAGATGGCACCAAATGTGATGAAAATAAAATTTGCCTCAATCATAAATGTACATCGTTATCCTCGCTTAATATTCATCATTGCAGTGAACAACATTGCTCTAATCATGGGGTATGTATGCAACTCAAATTACAATTCATGCTATTTGTAGTCAGCATAATCTATTTATTCCAACTTCATCGTAACAAGACTATTATTTTTACGACAGATATGCAATAATTTGGGTCACTGCCACTGCGATGATGGCTACGCTCCTCCTTATTGCAATACAACAGGTCATGGTGGGAGTCTTGATAGCTTCGGAACTGCTAAACAAGTTATTGCATCATCGTCTACATCAATACCTACATCAGTATCTACTAAATCATCGACACAGGCTACCACAACTTTGTTTCCGTCGTTAACATCTGTAGTATCTTCTGCGCAAAAGAGTTCGCTAACCTCTATAGCTTCTACTACGTTACTAACGTCTTCCATTGTGATTTCTTCTTCTTCGGTATTTAGTACGACATTTTCATCAACCATTCCAACCGCAAAGTCTTCATCAGTGCTAACAATTTTATCTTCGTCATCAACTCCTTCAGAAAAATCTTCATCATTAATAACTTCACGCTCTTCCGTTAAATCAGGTAGCACTTCCTATTATACAACAACTTTGCCAGTGCATCTTCGAAAGTCATCATCATCTGCATCATCGTCCATATCTTCCACTTTAATGCCTACATCATCTTCATATTCAACGTCAATATCATCGTTCATATCTTCCACTTTAATGACTACATCATCTTCATATTCAACTTCAATATCATCGAATTGGCGATTAACTTTGTCGACAACAACTTCATTATTGTCAACAAAGCTATTAGATCAAATACCATCTAAAGTAATCACCATTAAACCAACATCTACATCAAAGGAACATTCGTTACAATCACTTAACCAACCAACACCACAATCACATCATAAAGGACCGTCATCCACGCAATCTAGCGCTTTATCTTCAATACCACCAAGTGAAAATAATAATTTGTTCTATCCTATTCTAATATCTTGCTTAGCGGCATTTGTAATTATTACTGTAATAGTTGTATGTTGCTGTAAATATCGCCAAAAAATATCAGATTCAGTATTTGGGCCTTCTATTACTCGAAAAAGGCGTCGCTCAATATTTCATCAATCTAATATCGAATATAGGAGAAGTACCAATGAAGATTTTTGAATTAAATAATTCCATTGCTAAATACTCGTATGTAAATTACTGAAAAATACTACCAAAGTATTTTGTTAACAAATAATGAATAGGTTGATATAGTTGTATAATATTTTGGGGGGATGCTTGATGATATTATTCTAGGCCAGAAACATTATAGATATTATGAGATATACAGATTTCATGATTATGATGTAAAAATAAAATGATTGTATATTATATGTATTGATCGAATACTTTGTGTTAATTCAAGTAGAATACGAGCAATTAAAGTGGACGAAAAATTTTATTTTATTTCTAGCCTTCTACTTTGTTCATAATAATCGTCTTTGTAGAGCAGATTTCTCAAAGGTATACAAAGGGGTATTAAATTTAATTAATCAAGCCTTGTGCACTTATAGTCGGTTTTTCCACAAGCTACGAATCTCTAATAAATCAAGTGCCGTATACAAGATCAGCTTTGATCTATTAGTATATCAGAAAAGAAGCTAACACTTTACGACTTATTTGACATTACTATATTCAGTTAGCCAAGTGTTAACTTTGAGAATATTACCGTAATCGTGTTAATGAACTTATTTTTAGATATTAAAGCCTTAATTTTAGTTGTAAGCTTTAAATAAAGACTTAATTTATAATAAGTGTAGTAATATTCCACACGTCATAGCTAAGTTAAGGTACTTGCAAAATTAAGGAATGAAATAGCATCAGAAATCGCTTCTGTGGCATATACAAAATGTGCATTCTAACCTATTTATAGTTTTCTTGGTGAAATCATGAGAAATGAAACTTAGCAGTTACGTATTATTGAACTATTACGGTACTTCATTAAGAATGTAAGAGTGAAATTCTATCTCCAGATACAAGTCTTCATAGATATAAAATCTATTTTATTTGTGAATATAATAGCGTTAGCATCATGCTGCAAGTAGTATTGATGCAGGCAGAAGTAATTTGATATAATTACAAGAGTAAATATACACGCTTAGTATATATTACATATTGAATAGTTACATTGCATTGAAATTAGATTTTGTTAACTGTAATAAACATCTACTATGTCAATTTATACGAACGATTCTAAATAACAATCTGACACTAAGCCTTGGATATCTAATAATTTGAAATATATTACAAATGTACATCGCAATAGGTTAAAATTGTTCAGAGTTGATTTTAAAGGATCTAGCCATTATAAATACTGCAGGTATCATGTTAATTTCGTTCAATTACCAGAAAAATAAAGCGAAATTTCTTAGTAAGGTACTCTTTGATATATTGAATGAGTTTGAACGATTATGAACTTATTATAGTTTTAGATTTTGTTTTATTTTTGCTGCAGCTAATTTATCTCTCTCATGTCTTTGTTTTAGCATTTCAATTACTGATAGTTTTGTATCATCAGCATCAGCATTTTCTGTATTTTGAACGAAATTTGCCAAATTATCAGAGGAGATAGTCATGGAATGTTTTGAAGTGAAGCTTCGAGCTGCCGAATTTACCGCGACCTTGCGGTTGCTAAATTCTGTCGACTTTTTTTGTGTTTGAGGATTTCCTTTTTTTGTTGTTAGTGATGCTTTGTTATTGGTAGTCTCCTTCGGCTTAGCAGCGGGTTTTGGTCGGGGTATATTTTTAGCATATTCAGCTGCCTAGATAATCAATAATGATTATTTAATTGCATTAAATGTCTAAATTAATCATCAGAAAGAGTAATTCAAATGGCTGTTAATAGCTACTCGGTGAGTTTTTAGTAAGTAGATTTCTCATAATAGAGGTAGCATTGATTGAACCTTTCTATAGTAGCTTAAAGAGATCCATCGTGTTATTTCCTTAATACGAAATCCTAAACACGTATTACTTTATTATCTTCATGTACTTTTATAAAGAAAAATTTCGATTTTAAAGGATAACTGCCTAGCGAAACTAAACACTAATCCGTTGTGTAGCAATATAGGTCCCTGAATTGTGTATCGTTTAATTAAATGGCCTTTTCGATGAATTGCAGCACTACAGTAATAGTTCTCTTTTCAATAGTACCTAAATTCATGTCGTAAGCATTATAAAGTATAGGTTTAGTTACAGAAGTTCGAAATACTAGATAATGCACGATCGGAGGATTTTCTAAAGATGCAAGAAAGCTATAAGACATAATCTATAAATAATTTGCAATTGCAATATATGCTTGTAATAGTACAAAATCAATCATACGGGTATGTGTTTGTACGTATGCTTTCATTCAATTTAAAAGTCCTTAGTAACATATGATATATAATTGATCAATATTGCCATACCAATTTCGCTCTTGATAGTTGATTTTGATTATTAGCTTCCTTATTTGCGTTTCTACTAATCCAGCGTTTTTTCTCCTTCAAATGTTGTTGACGGATTAATTTTGCATATTCTTGTTGCTTGAAAGCCCGTTCTTGCTACATGTTATATAGATCAAAGATCAGCGTGATGTACAAGAGCTATAATTCAGCATTAGATAACACTTCATATACCTTTTCTTGGTATTCATTATTTAGTTTATCTGGACCTAACCCTCCTAGTTTGTTACTTTTGTCAGCAATACGTTTATAATCTTGCAAATTGTATGGCTTGTAGTTGGATTCTTGCCCTGTGCTATGATCTGATCGATATGTTCTAATATTACTACCTACGGAAGAATAGCTAACATTTAAGTCGGCATTTGTTGGTGTGTTGCTGTTCTCCATATCGTTATATTCATTAGGGTATTCATCTAAATGATAATCATAATTAAATGATTCATTATTTGGCTCGAAGTCGTATACATTATCATATTCTTCGTAAACTTTCGGATTAATATGTGCCGGTACTTGAGTTGGGGGTTGGCTTGTATAATTCCATGTAGACTCTCTTTCACCGTTATCATCAGTAAGAATTATGTCTTGATTAGAGAGAGTGCTCGCTCTGGATGAGAATTGAATTTCCCTCTTTGGCGAATTGAGTGTTTTGCCATCGATACTATTGGTGTCGTTACATGTTTTATTATTTTTATCTTTTAATTTTTTTTTCATATGCATAAATGCGTAACTTTTTGGTTTTGTTCTAGAATAGACATACTGATTGCCAACTTCTGATGTCTTATTCTGAGAATTGATGTCTTTCTGAATAGGACTAGCGATTGAAGTATAGTATAACCATAATTACATTTAGGAAGAGCAAATTGCAACTTTTATAAACGAGACAAAATTGGATAATATGCATACACTTTATGGTACCTCTTGCCTATATCTTCGTTGTTACTGCTACTGGAAATTATCGATGTATTTATAGGTATACTATCAGTCATATATGATAATTCTTGTCTTTGATTCCACTCAGCCATATCGCCTTCTGCAATTATATTTTGTGTAATGAATTGGAAAAGAAATATGAAATAGTGAGTAACTTGACTAAACCGATGTACCAATGGTGCTTATTTTTATTAAGCCTTTTTATGTGATGAGCAAATTATATCTCGGCTAGCACACCCTTAAGGCCTTGATGGTACTTCTATCTGATGTCAACATTATAATTCACATGTATTAAGCTTATATATAGTAAAGGCATAAAACACTATTTTCATGGATCTACTACTTTAATCGAACAAGATATCCCAATCGTAAATATTTTTAAAGATTTGTGAATGTCCTATTGAATCTGATAATATTGCGTTTAATGTCAAAACAGTCTACAACAATTGATTTCTTTCAAACCAAAATCATCAGAACTACTTCTCAAAGTATATCAGTGTTCTCGATCAGAGCTTTAATTGGTACTAAACTTACATTTCTTTCCTTCAGGGTTATTTAAGCAATATTAAGGCTACCATAGCAGCGGTATCCACAGAATAAAGATTGTACCCTTTATCGTGATTGACATTCGATCATCGATTTGCGTTATTTACATCTTTCTGTTGGCACATATTCCACAGCGCACGGTGAAGTACGAGTATGTCGCTTAGATAGGAACTGCCAGCATTCGTGCTGCAATGAATCGCTATGATAGTGCAATAAATAGCTAAGTAAGTGGATAGTAGGTTAAAAGGCGTCTACATTAACTATCGAGCTTAAAGTACTCGCGATATTGTTAATACTATACCATATAAACGTTATTGCATCGGAGTTCCCCCGCAGGCTTTGTTACTAGGTTACGAGGCTACTTTTATACAAGACACTATTCAGTGTATAGTATAGGTCAAAGCACGATATGAAATATATAGTGAATGGCCGTCCTCTGCCAAAGCGTGCTGTTTACTAACAAAGCTGTATAAAATAACACAGGCCATCACTTACTACAGTATGATTATTACTGTAGTGTTGCCAAGACAGAAACTACAATGTCGAGACTGGACAATTACGACCATGGCAGTATACTAGGGTAGGCTAAGATATAGTATTCAGATCATGGAGATAGAAGGTTATATCTCCATGATTCAGGCTAAAATACTATGGCCAACGAAAATGCAACTGATAGAGACAAACAGGCGACAGAACTTCAAATGATACAGTAGCCATTATAGATACCTGAATCAAATACTATGGCTAACGAAAAAGCATGTCAAGGAGACGAACAGGCGACAGAACTTGAAATGATATGGTTTCCAATATAGATACCTGAATCAAACACTATGGCTGACGAAAAGACAACTGAAAGAGACTAACCAGCGATAGTAGTTAATATGATGAGATACTGTATATCGGAACGCTGATTGTGAGTCAATTTCTATGGATGGCCATGGAATAGGGGGCATCTAACGGATTTGCATCTTAAATTATTTAGAAACTATTTGAAGGTTTTATTGGAAATCTCTACTAAAGAGGTCATGCCTTCAACCTTTCTCCAAGATGATATCGTATATACGCGTATTTAGAATAAGTTTACAGTAGAGCGAATTTGTCCTCTTCTTATGCATGATATTTCCTACAACGACTTGAAAGAACGATGACGCCAAAATTAGTTCTTCATCTACAAACCGACTCGTCGAATAAATAAATTACCATCCTTAGCAAAAGTTCACTCTAGCAAACAAGACGGCCATACAGTAAGGCAATACAGTATGATGATGGGCTGCATAAATTGGTATTTCCACATTATTGCATGCATTAATAAATGAGTCATGTAAAGAAGACAATGCACGAGTAAGGTAGTTTTAGCTGAAGTAGCAAGCAATTTTTTAATTTTATATTACATTTCCTCTAAATTGGTCAAAAGAAAATGTTTCTCCAGATTTGAATAGAAGCTCAAATTATAAAATAAACATAAAAATACAAGCACAATCCAACAATTCAGGTCCATCTTGTAAGACTGGCAAAAAAATTGACGATTCATGTATAAGATATATGGAAGAACCGGAAGCGCTGTTAGTCAAAGTGACATGATGGTAATTACAAATTAATTTACGTTACTTGAACCTGAAACCAATTTCACATGCGGTGATGAACCAACATCCTAAGATACAGTGTGCAATAATAGAAGTCAAGGATCTACAATATTTCCATTATCCAACAATAAATCCAACACCAAATTGGCATTTATTTGATACATGGTTGAGTATGCCACTAAGTGTTAAAGTAAACGGCATAGGTAGTAATTTCTTTTCTATCACCGACGTTATCGTCCAATTGCTATCGATTGAATTCTTTACGGTCATGTTTGCTTTTTGGACGTCCAATTCATAACCTAAGCTAACTACACTTTCCCTTGTTCTAAGATTAACGTCAAGATCGACTCCAGCACGAACCGATTCGTTCCCAATATGATAGTAAGTCATATTTACGTTCATGCCACTAGCAGTTGCAGCAGCAATCCAATTTTTTCCTGTTAAATAAAACAATCGATATATAGAAATTTTTACTTATAATCCTCCTAACGTCTCTGCATGACTACAGTTGAGGTTGATGGCTATATTCATTCACAATCCAACTACTGTATTCAACGGTGTATCTTGCATTGCGAATAGCTGCCTATGACGTGAAGACAATAATATTTATCTCTTACCTGTATATCGACCGCCTAGGGAGAGTACTGCTCCTTCCATCCCACCACCATACTGATATAAATATTCAGCTCCTAAACAAAGCTTCCGAGTAATGCTTTGCAGGTAATGAAAGGCTACTACACCAGATTCATCGATAATATTAGGATTTGCTGTTGTAACGCTAGCAACAAAATCTTTACCACGGTAATCTAGACCTAGCTGAGCCATTTGCCATACAGCTTTCTGAGTCTGTGATTATTGCATTGGATTGAATTAAAATTGACAGTATATTATAGATGCAAGTACTCAATGTGTTTTTATAAATATTCCCATTTCCTTTCATATCAAAATTATCATTTAATTTTCTCAATTCTTTACTTGAGTTTACCTGAATGACACATTTGGTTCTCAAACCGTGGACAATTTCATGAATTATCTGAGCGTTTAAATTATAATTATTATCCATGTCTCCAACAAGCACAGGAAACGCCTTTAAAAGATAATAGGTAATAATAATATCAATGATGTCAGTTAAGCGAAATGCCATTTCTTTGCATACTATTCATTGAAACACAAATGTCTTAATTTAGAAATTGTAAAACCTCCGTAGGGGACAGCTGCTTATTACCAACGTAAGTTGCACCGAAATGGTAGGAAGAATTGTTTGCTGAACTTAAATGGATGCTATGATTGACTTGAAAGTGACTACTAAGACCTTTATTAATGAGTAGTTTGCAACCCTCAAAAGGTTGTGGCATTAAGTCTGAAAAAGTCAAGTTATGGGAAAAGATTAAAAAGCGATATCATCAACATTCAGTACCAACTGTTACACATTAACATGCCATCATCTTATGTACTATTTGAAGTGATCTAAAAGTTATCTAGGCGTACGATATGATGCCATGATGTGTGCAATGTGAATATACAATTACCATGTACTGTACAAGTAGATTCATGTTACAAATAACGTTTGAGTAAAGCTAAGGTTAAACAAGACCATGTACTTTTTTTGTAGCACAATTGACATCGTAAGCAACCAAGTTATACTGAACAAACTGGACAAAGGTAAAACTACCGGCCTCGATACTTTACGGCTTTATATTGTACAATTAATTTTAACAGATCTTCATTGGATGGCGTCGCTGATGATACTTTACTCGCACCGCTATCACATTTGTTAGCAGTCATTTACATACACGTCTAGATTGCAATTAAGGTGAAAACATGAGCGATCCGTTTCATTCTAGATTGTCATGTAGACTTGGCTTTATAAAGAACTAATTATACTAATTGCAAATCTGTATCGAAAAACAGCAAACTCCTCACTTGTACAGGATATACTATGAATGTGAGTTTTGATGATGGCAAGCGGTATTAATAGAGATGTTCCATCACTATGTAGCGATTCAGCAACAAGTAAGATTAAAATTGTAACTCGACGACATGGTAGTTCAATATTAAGTTTCAGAAAGTCATCAAGCTAAGCGTTGTTACAGAATACAGTAGCAGATATGCAATGGGAAGGTCTGGTGTAACGGCTAAGGCCAATCTCTACCACATTCGGATCGATCAGTAATTAAGTCAGCTATTGCGTGCTAACCTATTGGCTTAAGGCATATCAATGTCATGTTCAGCACGTCCTATTCTGCTGATATCCTAGGCTAATTTATTTATTTGGCAACAGGAGATTTGTATCGTAGGTTGAAATAGTAAGATCGAGCCTATGCACAGGCTCGCCTAAAACTAGTTACGAGCATCTTAGTAGTCATGATGCTAGCGAAATCATGATTACATGGTCGATTTTCAATTGGAATCATTACCTTATTCGTATCTACTGTAGACAGCAGCGGATGGACTATGACACTATGCTAAGTTGCCTAATGAAAACAAACTACTGTACTGGCCAATAACTTCCATTGAAAACGGAATGTATGAGTTCATCTTCCAACTGTGGAATATGAAGGAAAGTATTTGAAAGCAACCATAGCAGAGTCATGAACTCATTGGAATATGGATGTTACTATGAGAGATAGGTAACAAGACTACCATCGGCCTATGATAACGGTTACCTACAAGCAATCATGATTAGCATGGACTAAATCAGGGGGTTGACTGATATTACTGGTGTTGTTGCACAAGCAGTCTTGGCGATCATTGTGGCATCATCAAAGTGACTTTTACTGTAACATGACGATTGCGCTCTTCTTGCCTAACGTCTATCATCAGCAATGTCCTATACAATACGCTAAACTTATATCCATAGGCAGAGTTGAAGTTGCAATTGACTTATTGATTTATTCTATCCATGTCTCCAATTCACCAAAAAGTATAAGGATGCTTATGGAGAAATGGTGTCTTGCGAGTTCGTACCTTTGCATTTCTTATGTAATTCTTCGAATGAACCCGGACATACCCAATCGTTGTTCAGTGTATTATTCGATCCATTAGCAGCATTTGCATCCTGTTGCCCAGATTGATGACTGGGATTTGCAGCTGGAGGCGGAGGAGCTAAACCTCCAGGAAATTGAGGACTCCCTTGACCGCCAGCCGACGCCATTTTCAATATCGTAATGATAATGATATGCGCTAGACCTCAGAGTGGTATGACCCTTCTTTCAAGTCATCGTCCTACCCAGTCATCCCTTGCAAGAGTCACTGTCACTACCGACGTCACTGGTAGCCTCACTACCGCCTTGACTGACGTTACCGGTACGCTAGTCATCAGGCATCGTAGGCCGAGAGCACATGCTCGTCTATCAAGCCGATTTGAAGCATGGTGCAATCGTGCCCTGGTGACGTGAAGCTTCTGTAGCGTACTGCCCATGTGCGCAAGCAGTTCAGTACAATGATGCTGGTTTACAGTCCACTGCAGTAGAGTAGAGTACAGTGTACTGTACTCTGCTGTGCAGTACTGTACTGTACAATCTGATTATTTTCGATGTCTCCCTTTCGTTCCAAAATCCAAGTTGTACAGTATTCCCTTGAAATTGCTGTCTAGTATTTACATTGAATGTGACATTTATACGACATACTGTACAGTATACTGTACAGTATACCCTTAGAAGGATATCTCCGATGATAGATTATCAGTATGACATGAACGTACTGTACAGTACAGTATGTCCTGTGCAGTACAGTGTACAGTACTGTAGCGCTGAGCAAAAGGGGTGAATTTTTTTCTTGAGCCTTCGTGATTTCAGTGATTTCATATACTGTACTGTACTGTACAGTACAGTACTGTAGAGTTCACTGCAAAAAGTTTTGAATCATCAATCCAGTACAGTACAGTACTGTAAAAAATTCATCGTGTGAATGTACAGTACATACTGTACACTTGTACAGTACTGTACCTTATCCCGGGTCCGTCTCGGGTCCTAGATTGATAGTACTCTACACTGTACAGTGTACAGTACTGTAGGTTCTCCTTCTTGCCTTTAGGGTACAGTACTGTACTTATTGCACAGTCTATGTACAATATTACGTAAAAGTTACTTAATTAACCTCATTTTAATCAATGAAATTAAAAAGCCAAGTTATTCAGCTTTATATTCGTATAATTTTTATTACATTTTGATTCACTCTTGTGATTTTAGGGCACCTTAAAGTACTCTGATTCGAACCGGTTCACGCGGTACAGCACTGTAGTACAGTACAGTACTGTACTGTACTGTACGGTATGTACTGTACAGTACAGTATTCGACAAATCACATTGTTGTTGTACTGTACACTAGTGTACAGTAATGTCTACAGTACACTGTACTGTACTGTACATTGTTTAGAGGCTCCAGAAGATTGATCCCGGTCCGTCCCGGGTCCTGGATTGACAGTACTGTACTGAACAGTACAGTGTACTGTACTGTACAGTACAGTGCAGTAACAACACCGCACAGGACTGTGTACAGTACTGTACTGTACTCTACGGTACAAACTTGCACTCTGTACTGTACTCTACAGAGCAGCAAGTGCGGTCGATCCGGTGGCCAAGGAAGCCAATTTGCTGCAAGAGATTGCTGGAGAGACATCATTCAACCAACATGTCTACCTTCAGTTATAGCTATAAGAAGTACACCGCTACCAAACGTAGTGCAAACGATGAAAACGCAAATGGTCCACTGGCTGCTAAACGCAGCGCACCTCTCCATCCTCAAACGCATAATGCAGAGACTTTGACCAGTGGAAAAAGGCTTAAATGTAAGATAGGCAATAGAGGCTAATCAATAACCTTGCAATCAGCTGTTCTCCATAACAGATTGACCTCTATCATTCTTGTTATCAACCAATGTCGACAAGCAATGACTTGAAATAATGCTATACAGACTTGATGAATGCACTACTCGTTATCAGTAGAAGCTTCTATTGCTAATTCTTTGCCTTAATCGACATATTGTATTAATATCCAAATAATAGTTGATCCAGCAGCCAAATTATTTATTGGCAATCTGTCGTGGGATACTACCTTAGGTGAGCTTGTATCTTGTACTACAATATTGTCATGATAAAAGGATACCTGTATATAGAGGTTATGTCATATTATGATTCAACAAGTTGAGAGAAATTCGGTACAGTTGCCTTCATATTCATTCGAGAATAGACCATAACCATCACTACAAATTGCTTAGGATAATGTCCTAACTAGGATGATGTTTATGCCCATCATTAATATAGAATCCTTGGCACATTATTTCTCTTCCTTTGGTAAACTTATGGATGCTAAGGTGACTCCTACAATCAACAACTGATCTGAACGTCATATTAACATAGAACAAGACTGCTTGATTGCAACATATCACTTTACTCCTTTTACCTACTTTTAGCTCTTTGTCAGTCTGTTTCTACGAAATGATAATAATAGTAAATGATTTTTTTTTCCAATATCAAGATTATTAAAGATCATGACACAGGCAATTCCAAAGGCTTTGCATTTGTGACTTATTCGTCAGCAGAAGAAGGTCAGTTAAAATACGCAATACACCATTGTTACTTCAATACTACCATTTCTTACCTGTATAATACTATCATGACTTTTTTGTACAAGTGACTAGTATCAGCAGTGGATATTATTCTTTCCCAAGCAGAAATAGCTATAGCAACTTGAATTAGTCTCATACTGTACATCAACAACAATTTAGCCAACAGTGACGTCATGGTGGTATTCATGTGTAGCCATCGTTGATATTGAGTTAAATAAGACTGATGGATCTACTGTACTCTACTGTGGATCATTACAACTCAATCAGAAAAAGGGATATCATAATGCTTTATCTTTCATGTAGCTCTCCATTGTCGCAAATGGTGTGCCATGAATTATCCGGTAAGCTACAATGCGTCTACAATTGAAAATCAAACATCTTTTGTATAAGAGGATAACTTTGATAATGCTTGATAAATTTATCATTCTACACTCTTAGAGGTTAGATGGAAGGAATATTTACGTTAGTGCTGTAGAGTGGCAACCTAAAGCGGTAGGTGATATAGTTTGATGAAGTTCGTACGCTGCTGTGTCTGACTAACTTTACCTGGTTTACTATCGATCAAATTAGAATATAGAAGTAATTATGATTCTTGCTATTAGCTACGTGATGCAAAGAGAGAAGAGAAAAGAAAAGCCAAAGAAGCAGAAAATTCTGTAGGCCCCACGTTGCAATGGGAGTTTAAATGGTCTTCTGATAAAGATGCTGAGGTTGGCTTTTGCATTGGATATACCAACATCACTTTATTATTATAATTTTGAAGATAATCATAAAGAAACTTTGTATTAGTTATCACACGTCTAACAATTATGTTATTGTTTTAGGTACATGGCCCCTACGATACTAGAACTATGCTAAATTGGAGTAAAGCTGTAAGCAAATGATAATAGCTACTATTAAATTACTGTAAATAGTATTACACATCATTTCTTCATTGTGGTGTGAATTCAGCTTAGCTACAGTAGTGATGTAGTTTGAAAGATGGTGATGGCATGATGCATGATGAAGGGCTATATATATATATATATATATTTATGTAATGCTTGCTTGTGCTTAACAAAGTCATTGTAGACTGTAGCTGGTATGATGAATGGATGACTAATGTTTTCTTCGATTGCAATCGTATAATTTATAAAAAAATTGAACATTTTAAATATCCATAGGGTTACTTTACGCGCGAAGCTTTTGTCCGACAAGTCGATTTTAATTCCATATCTGATTGGATTGCTGCACAAGATAATGATAATAATGGTGTCGATGATAGTGCCAATGTTTTATCGGAGAAAACAGAGAAGCAAATACCTGGACTCGTTGCATACAGCGATGAAGATTCTGATAGTGAAAATGATACCGCCAGTGTAGAAAGGGAAAACGATAAAGAAAAAGAAATTTCAACTGTTGCCTTGGACAAAGCAGAGGACGAATCAAAACAGGGACGTGCGAATCCATCGGAAAATTTCCAAGATGATGATGAAGAAAATTTTTCCGTGCCTAATAGACTCGAATTTATACCCATTTCGGAGATAGACTTTACAATGTATCCTTAATTCAACTCAAACGATCTTGTACTGTATTCAATGTATATCAATACTGTAAAATATTAGTCTATTGTACTGTCATCAAAATGGGATTGATTCACTTCAATCATTTACTATACCCGTAATTTTAAATTATTATAAATGAAAATAGGTACGTTGTCAAAATTGAATAATTTTTTATGATGTCATTTATATCATTAATGTACCATATAAATTATGACCTAGGAGTTGCTATTGATGCTGCTCATGTATGATGTGTTCTCTTGACTTTTCTCAAATTCTAATAAGCTCTATCGTTACCATCATGACTGTTACCTGAAAATGTTATAATAGTCTTAACTGTACATTGAATAAAACATTCTGTACAATAAAATTACTTAGCCGCTGTTATGTGCACATATGCATTATGTAGGGATTAGATTGTTATCAATAATTGTAGTATGCAATATACATTGATAAAATAGATTGGATCTACTATGTAATGCATAGTATTTATATCTATGTAAAAAATTAGTTTATTCTGTCTAAGGTGAATACATTTTAGATGCATCTTTGGCACTTGATCAAAAAACAATTTGAGTGCTTTATTGGCAGGAGTTATAAATAGTGTTCATTTCAGTTTATGCCAAGATTGAATTCTAAAATCAATCTGTAGTTGATTCTCTCACGCGTACCATAACGTATTGCAATAAAGATATCGTTGGAATATTTTTTTCCAATTTAGTGTAATTCTCACCAAAAGAATTGTCTCGGGCAGATAGAATTTATAAAAAAGTAGCGTTAATTACAGAGTTATTAAGCATAGTGGGGTAAAAATCAATGAGAACAAGAATCTAATCTAGTGTGCCCTGAGCTCGAAAGAAGTAAAGTCTAGTCTAAGCTCATCTCTACTGGTCATGAATACATTTCTTTTAATCTATTTTAGAGCAACAAAGTTGCAAACAATCAGACTTGAGTCATTAAATAGAAAACTTTTCCTCAAATAGATTATTAATATGTCTTACAACACGAATCAGTCTGCTTAATATCACATTATTATATTAATGTCTAATACCGTAAAGATGCAGGGTATCTATACAATTATAGTATATCAAGTCACATCGATCTATTCACCATACTTAGCTAACTGGCTAATACTAAATATATGAACAAGAATTTAATCTAGAATATTCTAAGCTCAAAAGAAGTAAAGTTTGAGCTCATCCCTGCAATTCTTAAGTACATTTTTTTAAATCTATTTACGCTAATAAAGTTGCCTACAATCAGACTTGAGTCATCAAGCAGAAGACTTTTCCTTAAATAGATTATAATTATCAATATGTTTTACGGTACAAATCGGTCTGCTTAATATATCATTATCCTTCTGTTAATGCCTAACACCGCTAGGATGATCTTTACAATTATAGTATATCAATCCACATCGATCTATTGACTATTCTTAGCTAGCTGGTTAATACAATATTAGTAATCAGCAATTTCTACTATCGTAATTTAGAATCATCTAACATTAGCATCATGATAATATCTATTCTTATAAACCCTAATGATATCAAATATAGCTATCAAAAATATCAACTAGAGGATATATGACTACGCGTAGAGTTACATAACGAATCCCTTAAACATAAATATGCTGTTTCATTAAACCAGCCATAATTGATTAATCTATAGTACAAATTATAATACATAATTCGGAACGATCAATTAGCCTGAGTTTCATATTTCTCTTTCTCATATTATTAATGTACTTTTAAAATATACAACTACTGTAATTTGCTACTATCATTATAAATTATATATTAAACATGAAAATTCTTGTTTTATAATAGGTATAAAATGGAAGATTTTTTCATTGATATCGTAATACTAATACAATACATCGATCATTAGTTAATAACATTGGCAGGAATTGGTCCATTTTTCACCAGATTAATTACTAATCATATTTATCAACGAGGCCATTCATTATGCTGGCCTTATGTGGGTAAAATAATTATAAGTAAGGCAGATATTCGATCATGTTATCGAGATACGTCTATGAGTAGATATTCGGTCAATATCATAATGTGAAAATGGATAAATAGGATAGAATTATTTTAATTTGGTGCTAAATATTTTATCCCTGAATGTTTACTCTTCTACCAATCACATTGTAACTGGAATATCAAGGAAGTGAAAAATGAGAACGGCTCTGGCAAGCATATGATTGTACTGACGTAGGATCAAAGATGACAATCACATAAATTAGCATACACCATGTGTTATTAGATCATCGTTTAGTTATTTCTGCTACCATATGCTCTGTAGTATAAAATATTTACTATCAGTAACCTCTGCCAGACTTTTTTCCAAGTTGGCTAAACGACAGGACTACCAAGGTAAGAGGAAAATGAATATGTCTTCTATTTTTTTCCATAAGAAGGAAGAGTACTGCAAAAAATAATAATCCATGACGGACTTGATACTCTTTCCTATTCAGTTTGATATTGAATTAAGATTCGTTAATGAGTAGAAATACTTGAAATTGAATTGCTATCCTTCAAAAATTTTAATTTTTATTAATCTACCCATTGGTAATACATCATCTAGTCGTAGGATAGCAGTTAGTCTGCATATAGTAACTTAATCCTATATCCTCGTTGTTTAATATCTATAGATGAAGACCTGGATCATTGTCGCCCTTTCCTTGGCCACCATATGTGTCGGCCCCACAAGTGCTGCATGTAAGTAAAAGAGGGAAAGAGAAGCAAGTAATCACCTTAGATCAAATGATTGCACTGCAATCATTTAATACTAAGCTCTTACATTAGTTCCCATAATTAATTGTCTTAAAATTAGACCATAAACCGATGAAATTCAACTTTATAATCCGTCAAGTATCGACTGTAGTTATGCATCTGTACAATGAAAAAATTTTGAAAAGATATACCTGTAATAAAAATTATTTTGTGGATCAGCTACAAGTTGTTTTCGGCAGCTAATACCAAAAAAAGTCTGTTTTAAAATATTCTCAGAACTTGTCTACGATTATTTTACATCATGCCGACACTGCTGCTAGTTATCCATGCCAAAATTTTGATCATATATCTATTTTATGTCTAAAATGGGAGTATGAACGTAATTCATTAATAAATTGTTCAGGTATTGGATTAATATGAGCTTTCAAACTTAAAAATGGATGCGCCTATAGGCATAAACTGAACTAGTAGTAGAGCTACAACAAGAACTTCATTTTTTTCCTATAAATTATTTTTACTACAAGAGTGACATTATTTTACTGATAGCAATCCATTAAACTTAAAAAGTGGAATACTCATTTTGTCCTACAAATTCATTTCACAGCAGGAGTAATAAAATTTGTCTTTTATTTTACAGTAGTCCATTAGAAGTTAAAAAAAATGAATCCTAATACTCATTTATCCGACAAATTTATTCTACTACAGGAGTAACAGAATTTGTTTTTTACTGTACAACAGCCCATTAAAACCTGAAATATTGATCCTAATACTCATTTTATCCTAAAAATTGATTTTGCTATATGAGTAACAGTATTTTCTGTTACTTAATAGTAGTCCATTCAGACTTGAAAAGTTGATTCTTAATGCTCACTTTGTCCTACAAATTCATTTCACCACAGAAGTGCTGCAATACTATTTATCTTTACTTGATAGTAGTCCATTCAAGCTTAAAAAGTCAAGTGTTCAAACTTATAGGTACTTGCGAGAGTAGTACTATTCCAAATCATCTAATTCATTTCACGACTGGAGTATCTGTCTTTTACGTTATAACAGTCTATTAAAGCTTGAAAAGTTGAGTTCATACTAATTGGAGTATTTGCGAGAGTAACATTATTCCAAATCATCGAATTCTTTTTACTACAGGAGTAATAGCATTTGTCTTTTACTTTCTAGTAATCCATTAAAATTTGAAAAGTAAAATTTTCATACTAATAGGGTATTTTACAAGAGTAGTTCTATTCCAAATCCTCTAACTCTTTCCACCATAGGGGTAATAGTATTTGTCTCTTACTTTATGGCAGTTCATTAAACTTGAAAAGTTAAGTGTTAATACGAATGAAGGTATTACCGAGAGTATTACTATTTAAAATCATCGAATTTTATTTCACCACAGAACGGTATTTGTCTTGTACTGATGGCTGTCTATTAAGACTTGAAAAGTAAAGTGTTGATATTAATAGGGTATTTGGTAGCTGTAGTATTATCCCACATCATCGAAAGATTTTAAAGATAATACTTGCAAAAATTGGATCTACGAGTTGTATTTTACATTGCCTTATTAGCCACTACTGTCGATAATAATGCAGCTGATAGAAGTTTTCATAATAGATCTATTTTGTAATCGTCCATCCAAACGATTATGTGTTTTACTATCTGTCACTTTAATTCTTATGGCCAAGTTGAATTGGATTCTTTGAGATTGGATTAAACTGCCTGAAATAAATGGAATATTTCTAATAAATCCTTTTCCCAATTTGAACATGATCAATATAGATGCTAGGGTGAAACCAGCTGTAGAACGTATCTTAGTGGGCGAAGATATAACTTTTACTTGCACAATCTATCAAAAAGGACCTCCTGGTAAATTCTTGTATTGGCAAACGCCTAATGGAACTCATCTGCCCGATTCGGATCCGCATACTGTTGTGACAAATAATGGCACAGAATTGCGTATTGTCAACGCCACTTTATCCGATGCAGGCACCTATAACTGTGTTTATTTAGACGAAAATTCTCTTCAAAAAGAACCTGCCGTTCTCTATGTTTCCGGTTAGTAAAAAATGACCTTTTGATTTCTATGGAGACAAGAAAAAATTGTTGTCAATTAGAATGGTAAAGTTGATGATCAAAGTCTTCCATTTTATTCTACAAGTTTGTTCAATCATTGATCAACGCAAACACCATATAGAATAAGTCTAATTGGACTATAGTTGGATAAATGCTTCTAGATCTGCTAATACGGGATAATTAGCGTATCGTAAAAATAGAGGAAATCATATTGATATTGAAATTCAATCTTGAATGAATTATTATAAAAAAAATTATAGTAGGTTTGTAGCTTTCAATCCATTATATGATAGATTAAGTGCTAATGATCATGATTTGTCGTTTATAATTAAGAACAGATTTAAAAATGAATTGTATAATTATGCAACTGAATACTCTGCAATAATTTCTATTGCCGCTTTTGGCACAAAATGGTTTCAACTTTCCAATTATTTCACTCTTAAATAGGAAAGTTAAAGGCGATTGCTCCTACAACCCAATACCTCATTATTGGTCGTCCTGGATACTTAGTATGTCATGGAGAAGGAAAAGGAATATCCGCAGTAAGATATCGATGGAAATTTAATCACCATGAAATTTTGGGGGTAGATCCAAACAGGGATGTAGCTAAGAATGGTAACTTAGTATTTAAAAATGTCACTGAAAAAGATGCAGGGAATTATACGTGCATTGTCAAGACAACTCTTCAAGAGGATAGAAAAACTATCCAGGCTACAACACTGAATATTTCAGGTAATAATCTAGATAGAAATAGATTTTATAGACTGATTATCAAGGAATTAGGAATAGATTGTATAGAAGCAAATTGATCCGCCTTACCAACCGATCAAGCCAGTTGTAACAAATAAATTGAATTCAAGAAGGATGATCCAAGTCTTTCTTTATCCTTCCTTTCCTTTCTAGATTTACCAAAGCCACCAAGTGAATGTAAATTGGATGCCAAATTCTCTCATATTAATGTCTGTTTCACTATTCCTGAGTCTGAGAAAGCGACTGCAACAAAGTACAAGATCATGTACTGGCCCACCGGTGCTCCTATGAATGTGACAACAAAAATTATTGAAAGCTCCAAATATAAATGTCCAGTGGATATTTCCGGTTTAGTGGACGATACTAGCTATGATTTCAGATTTGCGGTATCCAATAATATTGCTTACGGTGCAGAATCTAAAGTCTTTACTGCTAAAACAAATCGAGCAAGTGAGTCTTTCTACCTTTAGAGAAATAATAATTCATTGCAAGCATGATACCGGTATAGAATTAGCACATATCCAATTTCCAAGTTGAATGAAGGCAAACTCGATTGGAACTCTGTACTAGAGTAAATTTACCTTTAAAGTAGACGCCGATTAGCAATAGAAATCACTGTAAGAGTATTTTTGCTCTTTACAAATTTACTTCAAGGCCTAACATGTAATTGCCAATAAAGTTTTAACAAGAAGGCAAAATAATGCCTGCAGCTAGTATTGAAAAAGTAAAATAGCAAGATTACTGTAGGAAAAACGACTTTTCATCTTAAGCTCGATACTTTAGCTAAACACGAAACCCAAGTGCCTTCGAGATAGTAAGCTGAGCTAAAGCTTATAATCAGTTTTGAAAGGGATAATTAAGGAGAAGAAGTTTAACAATCATGTCGTTACCGAATAGTTTAGTCAAATGGTGATAGAATTGAAATTGTTCTCGTCAACATGTTACACCCATACGGTAGCTATTTATACTATTATTCTTACCTTAATACCATGTTTTCTTTCCTTGTCTTATTAGTTTTGTTTGCTTAATTTGAGAATACTTAATCTTTTTATTTAAAAGTTTAATACTCATTCCCTATTGAATAGTTTGGTCATAAGATGGCGATAGGATTTAAATTGCTTTAATAGGATGTGTTACAGTCATAGCTATTTATCCTATTTTTCTTACCTTAAAGGCATGTTTTCTTTCCTTGTCTAAATAGCTTAGTTATCTAATTTTGAGAATGATTGATAAACTTATTAAAAAGAAGTTTAATGATTATGTTTTCATTGAATAAGTTGGTCATGAAGTAGCGATAGGATACGTTACTTTCATAGCTATTTATCCTATTATTCTAACCTTAATATCACGTATTTTTCCCCTTGTCTGAATAGTTTAGTCTCCCTAATTTTAAGAATGTTTGATATATTTATATTTTATATCGTTTTTAAACTAATCCACACTCTATTTACGATAATATGAAAGGATTGAAGGAACCAATTATACAGTATCTGTCATAAATTGGATATAATTTAAATTGATCAAAACATCTTTAGCGGGCAATATTCATCCATTCTATGAATAGATTAATAACCTTTAAAGTAGATTTTGAACTAATGATCCTTCTTTTAGTGATGCTATCAAAGAATTTATGCTTAGATTAATTTTCTTTATAATTGAATTAATTTGGAATAATCGTTATGTAATTTGACTACAATAGGGACTCTTAAGATAAACTCCTGGAGTATGTCTTAGGAGTCCCCGAATGTACATTCATCCTTTCTAGTCTAATTATCACTAAAATAATTCTGCCAATCAATCATTTTAACTTGGATAGAATTATCTATAATCATTTTATTCAATATACTCTTATTTTGTAAATCATAGAATGTCCAAGAGTACCTACAGAAGTTAAATTCGATGTCTACTATACTCATGTTGTTGCATCTTGGATGCCACCTGACTTTGATGGTGGAGCGCCCGTTGATGACTATCGCGTAGATTATCGCAAAAATGATACTGATATGGTCTTCGTGATGAAAACAGGAAAGAAATCACCAATCACCATTACAGGTCTTGAAGATAATACTGAATACGAATTCAAAGTTGCCGCACACAATCGACGATGTTGGGGACCTTCTTATGAAGCCATCGAAATGACTCTTCGTTTAGGTAATTTAATGAAAATCAACTTTGAATATTTGTTCTCTACCAGGCGTTGCTCTTTCAAAAATAAGTTAAAATGAGAAGGAAAATTGAATACTGATCCTATTCGTTTACATGTATATGCATTACTTTTCGTTAGTGATCATAGAGTCATCTATGATAATCTACTCGTATTTTATGTAAAATAAGGTACTATGGCCTATTTGGTAGTCAAAGACCTTTCTTCCAAGTACTGAATTTAGAGTAGTGATGTGAATAATTTCATTTCATTAGCGCTCGTACCTCAGGATCAACAATTAATACAGTATGAGCTTTGACTTATACTATATACTTTTTGATATAAATATACTGCTATGGTAGTAACATAACGCACTCAAAGTATTCTGCAACTGGAAATAATCAATCAATTTTTCTAGATTAATTCTCTTCTATATCTCGTCCTTATTCTCATCTATGGATTAACGTATATTATTGTACTAATTTCCATTTTATTTGCAGCTGAACCTAGTATGCCAACAGAGCTCTTCCTTAGAAGTACTGATCATTCGATTACCGTTTCATGGAAACCACCTACCAATGATCATGGACGTAAAGTCACTGAATATCGTTTAGAATATCGAATGGTTGGCGATGCGAACTGGATTACCATCGATAATGCCACTACCCCATATACTCTAAGCCAATTAACCTACAATAAGGAATATCAGATTCAAGTCTCTGCTAAGAATCAAATCGGTTGGGGAAAGCCAAAGAAATCACAAACTAAAACCATTGTTATAAGTAAGTTAATCATTGCAATCTACCTTATTCAGGTACAATGTATCTGCAAGTTTCCTATTACTTAGCCTAATATCCAGGTAGTTTTCCAAATCTTGACGCTATTTTATCCATTGATTCTTGCAGATCCACCCACAGCACCTCGCAATATTTCTATCGAAAATATCAAGTATGATTCTATGACGGTTTCTTGGATGGCACCAATCAGTGATAACGGTGCGCCCATTACTGCTTATAAGGTTGAATATCAAATTCGTGCAGGCAAAGTTGTATCGAAAAATTGGTTTTCCACGCAAGTGAGTCGATACTGATGTATATGATTTATCCGTACTAAGCGTAGCGTGAACTGTTGAATCAGATTGAGGATTTTAAGGATAAATTAATATCTATATCTGGCATTTCATGCAGCATAACGTGTTTAAATTGAATGGCCACCTGTACGTAGTGCTATATCTTTACTCAAGACCTTCTCAATATTATATCCATGACTTAGTCCACTTATTAGCCTCGATAAGAGTATACCATATAGATATAAGTTATTTCTCCCAATGACAAAAATAGAGCCGTAAAGAATGTTGAATAATCACCGATAGGTCATCAATTTTATATTCTTAAATTAAAATTGATCTACCAGCAGTATTTTGATATGTCCAATACAAGTTGAAGTATCCTTGCCCCTTCATTCCTGCCGTATTAGTATATCCATATATTGTACATATTCTTGCCACTGCTATTTTTCGATTATAACTGTAGCTGTATAGAATCTAAGACACCAATAGATCAAGTATCTTTATTTGAAAATCAAAAATTGCAGGCTGTGAAATATATTTGCCTTATGTTTAATGCATGTTAGGATATTCTCATATTAGTTGTAAGATAAGATATAATCTCTGAGCAATTTACTATAATTCAGATGGTCATAAATTAATATCCAACCTTATGCAAACAACACTGATATAACCAATTCTCTGTAATATAAATTAACAAACGTGAATAAATTGTGATTAAATAGTGGCCCAGTTGATCATGACTTTGTATAATCCAATCTATCAAATTAAAATTTTTTAATGCCTTTATTATAAATGTATAGTATCAAGTAGTTTAAAGTCAAAATAAATGTAATAGATAAATTTAACGGATGAAATGGAAAAATGACGCAATTTTAAATTACAATTCTTACTATTCATCCGTAGCTATTGTGATAATATAAATTGTTAGTCTTTATTAATACATATGGAGAATTTTGAACATTTTTCCGTATATCAAACAAACTGTAAAGATAAAAATCATTATTTCATAGACTAAAGCAGATGTCATGAGCGCATCAGTTACCAAACTTAATGGATCGACAAGCTATAACGTTCGTGTTGGTGCCATAAATACTGCGGGTATCACTTATAGCAGCCCTTTAAAAACAGTGAAAACAGCTGCAGGTAGAGTAATACTTAATTTTACTGTCTAATAACTTCTTTATTTGCTCTTATAAAACTATAAAATTAAGTAGAATGTCAGAATTGATATTTCCTATTTGTATGTTTCTGGCTTTGCTACCCTCTTGATAATCTTCGCCATAAATTATAACTTTAGCTCCTATGGCACCTTTCACTTTGGCTATCATTATCATCCTCTCCATTGTTGGTGCTTTAATCGTGGCTGATATTATTCTCTACTTCGCTCTTGATACTGGTGTTACTAAGAAAGTTGTTGAAAAAGTTCAAAATAAATCAGGCTGTAAGTGTAACTGATAGTGTTTGAAGCATTACTTGGAAACCATATCCACTTTTGACTTTGGTATTTTAAAAGCATATGTATGATGTCTTAATCATGTGTATCACTTATTAACAATGGATATTTTCTCCTTATCTTTATCCATGATAATGTTTAGATGAAAAAGCACCAGAAGGGGGTGAATAAATCTTAAATTCAAGTTTGATTTCATCTTCAACAATGGTAAGTTAACCTGTTAATCACAATATAATGATCCATATAGTTAGTGACTGTACTATATCGATGATTACTTGAATAGGCTTCTGTTATTAGCCTGCCAATTTGTAACCCATTCGCTTCCTACTTTGCGAAAATTAATAAATAGTTTCATTAAAGTATTATCTATTTTTCAGGTATTGCTTTGGTAGAAATTCTAGCTTGCGGATTATCTTAAAAATATTAACAGTAATTCACCTTGAGTACGTCTATAATATCGTTAATAAATTACGGTAAGGCGGGATTAAATGTTATTTCTTACTCGCATAATATTATTTTAAAAAAGATTATAGCTAGGCAGATAGAAATAAAACTATGTCAATTCAACTGCAAGTTGTTTTGCTATAAGCTACCGCTATTTTTTCGTGTTGCAATTGATGTTATGAGTTTAGGCGGATTGTAGATGATCTAAATAATAAATTTAGGATGACTAACGAGTATAATTGATGTTTATAGTGAACCTATGTCAGATCATCTATGTTTTTATTAACTACCTTACTTATCCAGATAAAGTAATCAATGACTTGATTATTACTCAAGATAGAAATTGTTTTACGGTAGAATATTGGTAAGGTGTTTTTCATGCTTTTTAGTTATCAGCAAATATACGATAATAAATGATTAAAAACAGGGACCATTTTTGTAATAAATTGCTTTCCTATCAATACATGAACTTCGATGAAGGATTTTTTGAAAAAAAGGAAAAGATTGAGATCTGTTTGGCAGTATGTTTATTGCTGACCTTTATTTAGCATTAAAGCCACCATTATACATTCAATCACTACAAAAGTATCGCAAACTGATCAAAAATTCATGAAAATATGCTTTCGGTTGAGCTTCTACCGATCCTCTAAAGACATTATATTAAGTCTATAAATAATATTTATAACTATAGTCTATTGATGGATTATTCATTATCATCATAATAATGGCCGAAATCTACTACCGTACCATAATCCAGCAGTTATATAATTGATATTTAGAAAATTGTTTAATACTTCCCAGCTTGAACCATTATTTAACCTTTATTTACTACAGTTATCTCTCTACATCTGCGTGAGCATTGCAAAGTGACTCCAAATTGATGAGAATATGCTTTAGGTTGAGCTTCTACCGATCATCTACATTATATCATCTTCATGAATACTATTTATAATCGTAGTCTGCTGATAGATTATCATCATAATAGGAACCGAAAACTACCATTGTACCATAATCCACCCAGTAATACAATTAATATTTAGAAAATTGTTCAAAAGTTCCCAGCTTGACTCATAATATAGCCTGGTGATCATTCTATCCATAGCTCCATTTACTAGTGATGGATTAAACTAAATCATGTTTCTTCCACCTCTAGCTATAGCTTGATGTTAGCCATGCCATATTCATAATGACACTATAATAGTATTGTAAGTAATTCTTTTAACCTCTCTCAACTTGAGAGACGATACAATCCGGTCATCAGCAGTTTTATAATGTAGTTATTAGTCTTAAATCTTACCGATTAACCACAAAGTCTACCTGTTACTGCAGCTTAATATCAGAAAGGATAGCTGCTATTTTATGATATGATTCATTATAAGTTTATTCTATCAATTTAACTCAGCTAAGGCGAGGGTGTGTCCAACCTCTATCTAATCGGCGTTACTTAGCAACCATGGCCGGTAAGATGGAGGTAATTTATAGCTTCAGTACTGCACTATGTGACTGCTTGGGCTATTTCATAATCATACTAAACAATCTTAAAATTAAGTGGGCATGGTATAGGAATGAAATTGATGTCTTAGACGTAAGATAGAAATAGGAAGGGCATTTTAAGGATTGTGGTTTAAGTTTACCAGCTGAAAGATGGCTTCTAGTGAGGAAGAGGAAGATATAGGAACGGTAACAAATCATTTAGGCCAAGAATTACAAAGTATATTTAATCAAATCGAAGCCAACTTACCCACCATAGACAGCGATACTTCTGATGTTAGTATTCTAATCACAATGATTAATTTTATATGCGGTCCAAACGTTTCATTTCAGGGATTCATGATTATAATACTTTGAGCTCCAGAAAAACTAGTAATCCAAGCTATAGGATTAGCTTTCATTTGAAAGGATTAGTACTACATCGAATGATATATACTACTTAAATGTCCAATATTGAAATTAGATCGAAACATTCGATGCTCGATAGTCATTGTTAATACCTAAATTGACTCGATATTAACTTGAATTAGGCGCTATTATACATCATGATAGATATCGACGATAAATCAATGATCGATGAAACGGCTCTTGTTGACACTGCCACTAAATGAGACAAAATTTAATTAAAAATCTTTCGGACAGGTGGGAAGCGAAGAAGAGGTTCAAATATTCGATCGATATATAAATCATGAAGTAACTTTATTAAATCAGCCGCCACTCAATGGAAATGATGAACAACAAATTTTGACAGCAGATCAGGTAAACTACGGAGAAAATTAAGTTATTTTTAATCCCTTGATTTTGTTTTATAAATATATTTGAAATGAGTTGATTTAGGTAACGTGTTTATTCTTTTTGTTTAATATATGTCTCCATACGGTACCTTATATTGCTTTTATATTATTATTTTTATAAATTGGTTATGCATATTTCTTGTATTAGCCTAATAATGAGTCAAATAAGAAATTCAACGATAGTCATCTTAGTTCTAATACTCAAGATGATGAAGGTAGCGGTAGTCAAAAGGCTAGACCAGCAGAAATTATGAAAGAAATACAATTAGAACCCAATGACTTTTCAAGCATCATTTCAGCAAATACGTTACATAGCCATTTTATTCCTATTCAAAGTCCAGTATTACAGATTCCTAACTTGGAGGAAAGTGATATTGAATCAATAGTAAATCAAATAGGCAAGAAAGAACAGAGACATGTTTATAGACCGATTCAAAAATTCACCCATGATATCTATCAAGGTAAAGCTAAATCGTGCTATAGTTCTTCGATCTGTATTTCAAGTTTAGTTGCAATAAATTATTGTATATATCGGATATTACACTTTAATCTCAATATTAATGATCAACAACCTGCACGTATAAATTTGTTTGTATCGATAAAATTTTATCAAATAGTATCCGATCGAGAAGAAGAGACTGATAATATTTCCTTAATGGATAAATTAACGGCATTGGCTATACAACAAGGCGGAGAAATAGCACCATCTAGGTCGGAAACTTCAGCGTCTAAAAGTAATGACGACTTGGATAGCTCCATATCTGTCTCCTATCAGCCTGAAGAGGAAAAGGTGCTGAAAGAGAGCGAAAATAATGTTGCGAAATTACAATTACAGAATACCAACGAGATAAACCCAGTAGTTACTCTTGCTGATGAAAATAAGCAGACTGTCTTTCTCGATTTGCGACAAGAAGCAATGGAAGAGAAAATTCAGGTTCAATATTACTATTTCATAGATTCCTTGTTATCACAAAATGTATTAATTCTATGTTAGCGATGGAAGTACTGCCTTATTTCGGGCAATTCATAGTATAGAACTTGTAGAATCATAGTCATAATTATCCGTGTATAAGGGTGGAAAAATTCATCATATTTAAATTAAATGTATGATAAATTGTAATTATAGGAGGAGAATTCGTTATCAGCAGGTGGAAAACGTTTACTGGCACTCAGAATGAAAGCACAAAGGTATTCGCCGACAAGAGCGAATTTAATTTTAATGCCTAATACATTTGAAAACACTCGTAATCAATTATAAGCAGGAACTACTCGGCCTATATTCACTCAAGCTATGATTTAGCAGTGAGTGATTATAACTATGGGTCGTATAGTCCCTGGTATAAGTAGGAAAGTTTTTATTTATTTTTGACGCAACAATTTAGGCTACTCTATATAATAGCAATGATCATGGCCAAGCTTATTTTAAAGCTTTGTACGTTAGTCGAGCCAGTTCAAGACTTTCATCTCCCCAAAATATTTTGTTACGTTACTAATTACTGCCATAAAGACATTATCGTAATGATAAACAAAATTCACCTAGGCTTTGCATCCTTTGCAGTTTTCTTGATAGATACTTGCATATGCGTAAACTACCAGTCTACAGTAAATCGTATGCAAGAATTATTTCCGAAAGTGAAACTGTCCAACAAATAAGAAAGCACTTTAATATCTTAGATTAGCTGTGTTACATGAAAAGTTAGTCATATTTTGTTGTATAGTTCTGATGCATAGAAAAATCCAAAGCTCCTCCATAGCAAGCTGAAAGGGCTCTAGCAATATCTAGTAATTGTGTTATGCTCTAGAATAAGAAGAATAGATTAAAATAGGTCTTTTGCACTATAAAATTATCCCTATTTTAGCGTATAGGAAAGGAAATGGTTTTTTAATCAATAAGCTGAAATTTGTCGTTAAATTTAGAGTCTAATATTTTATAAACTTAATGATTTCTATCCGATATAACAGTGAAAGTTCCCAAGATAGCGATTCCAGTCTAAGCGATGAGGAAAGTAATAACAAGCAATGGGTCAGTCTGCGCAACAAAATCAAAAGCACGAGCTTGCAAGAAAGTAAAAAGTTGCAGCAAGACCAACAACATCAGATGTCTGCAGTTGATCAGTTTACTCCTATGACAATTCAAAAGCCACAGGATAAACCCTACGAAGCTCCAAAGCAATCAAGATCGGTAATTACAAAAATTTTTTGATTATGAAGAAAATCAATAAATGTCTTGATCATTTCTTCGAAGTAAATTCTAAATCTAGTTATCAAACGTTTTATTAATTTTAGATTGGAACTAATGTATCAAAAGTTGACTTAGTGGATAAAAATAATAAAGCGGAAAGCCAATTAAAGCCTGATATAAGTGTGGTTAATAATAAAAATTCCAAGACTACTAATGCTAAACAAAGCATCCAACAAGATAAAGCTAAACGTCAACGATTAGCTAAAAGAATTAAAAGTATGAAGCCTAAAAATTCTTGGTTAGGTTTCCATCCAACAGCTGTAGAAACACCAGTCCTCTTTGATCAGGTATTTTGCCCATAAGTGATAATATTTTGCTGCTTTATAGCTTCAAGATAACGATCTTGAGCTCATATTTAGTCGCAGTCATTCATTTCTGACTTCTATATGCTACGGCTAAAATCTAAATTGAGAGCATTCATAGTTAAGAATGATTATTTACTAAAGAGAAAAAACAAAACCTGTGTAGTCCTTACCAGCAATATTACTAAACACTTTCACAGAAATAAAATCGATTAATACCAGTATGATTAATATTATAAAATATATATATACAAATTTATACGGATATTTATATCATAATTTAATTAATTACTGATTTCGCTCTTTCGTTAGAGTATGCATACTCACCTTTTCATATATGCAAATAGGATGTTACCTTTGCTCAACCTCCTACTGTTTTACCCTTCGACTTGAATGAAAAAATATGCATGATCCTGAAATTACCTTTAATTGGGTTAAATGAAGCTAATATTTCTGTTAAATCCAAATCAGTTACTACGGTTGGGCGCGATATCCTTTCCAGGCTATGCTTACGCCATTGCTACTCATTGATTTTAACATGGCTTCTGTCCTTATTGAATAAAGCAACATCCAATTACCCTGATAAATTAGCATCTTTGCCGCCTTTTATTGTTGTTGGATTACAACAAGTTACAATAAATGGCAAATTATCTATCGATGTTGTTATTACGGAATCAGCAAGCCAAAAATTAAATCGACATCAACAGCAAGAACTCGATGATAGTAAAACTCGTAAAAGGAGAGATTCTAGACAAAGTTTCTATCAGAGTGTTTATAAATATCTGTCGACAACCAACTTTAACAAGCTCTTTCCTTGGATTATCAAGAAGGATAATCATGTTATTGCCCAGTGTAAACAAGTGAATTTTCATTTACCAGACGGTCTCCATCTTTTACTCAATCAATCTATATCTAGTTTTATTAAAGTAGAAACTGATGCAAAGACTATCCAGCAATGCTTAGATCATCGTCATAGCTACTTTTGGATAACATTAGATACAGATGATTCTATAGATAGTAAAAGTTATCAAGATTCGACATTATCGTATGAATATCCATTTCAGACGACCATCTTAAGACTACAGCATGAATTATATAGTAATCCACAAACTAATTTTGCATTTTTTTACGAATTTTGGAGCCAAGGCTTTGATATTAGTGGACTACGACTATTATATGATCCTTCATCTCCAGATCGTCATCATCAATGGATGCCAACACTTTATATTGCCTTACGTGGACCTTTAGCTATTGAAAAATGCCGCCAAATTCTTGGCCCATTAGATGCTAATCTAGCTCGACGAACGGATCCAACATCTTTATCTGCCTTATATTGCAGTCCAATACGACAAAGTAATCGTCCATTAGTCAGTTGTACCAATTCAAAGTTGAGATCATTAGATGAATTATGCCAAATTTTCGGTGGTCGAATACCACTGGATCAGCATGGTCAAGTTCTTACTGACACATTAAATTGTCAACAAGATATTTTCCTGTTAGCAGCTTGTGTTGAAACAAGTATTGTGCTAATCTTGTCTCCGTGGATACCTATTGATCATCTACCTCAGATTATAAAGCTATGCTTGAGCCATGGCTTTCTTTTACAAGATATGCATAGGACTAGTTTAACCCATGGACAGATTGCAAGTTTATCCATGCAAAAATATTACTCAAATGATCATTGGAAATTCAAGGGAGAAATTAAAAACAATGTCGCTTATCCGCCAAGTGTCACATTTCTCCATTTACGACGTGAAAATGCTCTTCATCAATCTTCTCAATTAATTGAAATTATTGTTCGACATTTAACACCTTGGATTCAAAACCATGATGGTAAAATTAATACTGGCGATTTAATTAAAATTCTACCCTATCATGATGAGAATTTAAAATCGATAACAAGACAATTTAGCCTCTTACCTTCTACTAATCCAATCCTATTAAATTGTAATCTTCCACCATTTTATTCCTATCCCGATTATGAGCAAGTTGTTGTTGTTAATTTTACCTCTATTAAGCAACTATCGCTATGTGCGGATGCTATGGCCCAATTAATTCATAATCAGGTCGGAGAAGAAACGGTCTTGCAACGTCGGCTAGAGATTATTGGGCTGAAATATATCCCTCAATTGCCAGCGGTGATTGCTAGTGAATTATCGCAGTTTGAGGTAGGCCATATTGGCTATAAAGAAAGTATTCAGGCTATGATTGGTAGGCCTGCAGTATCCATTTTGATCCGAGGTTAGTACTTTAAAATGCAGCATTTAATGTTCTAAGCAAGCACAATAAAATAATGTACCTGTAGTTGAAACATTCTACGTTAGTAAAATAGTTCTTTACTTACATTAATTTACAATATCGACTTAAAAATAATTATCCTACACAATAAAAGAACCCGAAACCAGAAAACTAATCAGTTATGGCAGATTATAAAATGATCCTGAAAAATAATTATTTCTAAGCATTTCAAGTCTTCTACACTAATCAAATTGATTAGTTACCCATAGTATCTTCAAAATATCCACTTGGATATAATCATTTTATAGACATTTAGACACTCTAAGCTAGTAAGATTCATTATTTTCGCATTGTATTTTGACTTATCAAGTTAAAAATAATGCTGCTACGTAATTCAATGCTCTAACCTAACTTTCAAAATTGACCTGCCATAATATTTCTATATCAATTTAAAAGTAACTATTTTATAAAATCCAGCTGCACTAAGATTCTTAAATTAGTAGCATGCCTTTATTACCATATATTACATTCACTGTACAGAATCATTAAGATTGAAAATGATTTACCTATAGCAGGTTTTAGAATCGATCAAAAATGACTGCAGTATATAATTTAAATATTGTAACCCAATAAAAAGAAATAATTGCTTATACGATGCTTCCATATCCGCGTGAAAATAACTTATACGACTTAATATTTATCTTGTTTTTGTCCTAATTTGTATACTACATTGCAGCTATCGACGCTTTCCAGCTGCTAAGCAAGAACGTAGCTCAAATCCAAGCATCGACATTTACATTTTCTATCCTTATTTCACAATCTCCGGAAATTGCCTATCGACAAGCAAGCTTAATCTTTCGTAATCGTGAATTAGCAGTCAACGACAGTCTTCGTACAATTTTACCTTATATCCCCAGTACTTTGGATGAGGAATATGAATGGATAGAGGAGGATTCTGATGATGATTGGAGAGAAGCAAATACTAGTAAAAAGAGAAAAAATCGTAGCAAGAAAGCTCCAGCCTCGACCGAATTCAGTAAAGGTAAGCTAGTGCCTTTTATAATCCAATTTTCTCATTTTTAACCTTAGCCATCCGTTTAAATTCATTTTCTTGCATTTGATAATTAAGTTGCGCTCGAAGTATATATTACTCCATAATTTTTTAACGATTTTCGTAAAACTGATTCTTGATCGAAATCTAACATGTCCTTATCATAGACAGTTAGCATATTGCTAAGTGTTATTGAATGTGAATTGCCAGCCTAAAGGATGCCAAAATTACTATTTAATAGCAATTATCTATAATTTCGCTTAAGTGTGTGTGTGTAAGTAAGCTAGAGTAGTAATGAACACAAATTTAATTTATTTTTATATTATAGTTAAATTTCTGGAAAAGATATTCCTTCAACCCATTAGTATTGTAACTATCCTGGTCATTAAACCTGATGCTTTCCATAAAGTTAATAAAATTTTAAGACAAATCGTTCAAAAGTCTTTCCGAATAGTTGGTTTAAAGCAATGCGTTCTTACTCATGATACTGCAATTAAATTGGTGGCAACAGATCTTCCAAGGAAGGAAGAACATGTTAGTTTTACTTATTCTAGTGCAGAGTTTATTTTTCAAGTATTTTCCTATAGAAGCCATGAATTTTTTCTATCATATTCCAGAATAGTCTGATATGATATCTGAGTTGTCTTTAAATCTGTGTAATGCTTGTAACTGATACTAGATCGATCATCTAACCGCTGGTCCGTCGATAGTCCTGTGCTTACAGCGTGTTAATGCCGTTAAGAAATTATTAGATTTGGCTGGTCCGGAAAATCCTGATGAAGCTCGAAAATTGGATGGATTTAGCTGGCGTTCTCAATATGGTCAAAATATCATCCATAACGGCCTATACTGTAAATAGGAGATTATTGAGATTATATCTTGATCGGTTATAATTTAAAATACGAAATTAACAACGGATTTTGATATTACAGGCTCAACATCCTATATGCAGGCAATACAAGATGTCAAGTTGCTCTTTCCAGAAGGATTATGCTGTCCATTTAATCCGTATTTACAGTATGAGCAGGTATAATTATGAGCTAAAATTTAAATTACAGAGTTCTTCCATTGCATAACTAATACTCTATCGATATAATAAAACAGTTATGGGCATAAATAGAAATTTTCATTTTTTTAATTTATTCCAATGTAGTAATAAACTCAATGATTAATCCTTATTTTGAGATAATTATTAATGATAATCGTGAATGAGATCGCAACGTGATACTTTAAGTCGTAAATTTACTTTTCATCCCGCGTCTATGTTTTTTGATTTTATTCATCGCATTATTTGATATATTGTATACATCATCAACAATATTTTCTTGAAATTTAGAGGTTATATATAGTATACCTTAGACCTAACTGCTAGAAATTCCGCATCAGATATTTAATCAATTTAGAGGTTATATATAGTAAACTTTAGACTTGGCAGCTAGGAATTCCGTATCAGATGTTCTTATGCTTCAGCGTAGTAATTATACTTCGTAGTAATATTTCCATTACATGCATAGGTTATAACCACTGTCACTTAGCTCTAGTAGCTAAAAATTCCGATTTATGTGTACTCTTACCTTAGCCTAGCCATTAAGTCTCTTTCAACAAAATTTTATTAAACTTAACCCTTACAACAACTACACATTATTGTACTAAAGATCTAGTAGTTATATTGGATTGAAATTCCCTATTAGATGAAACTTTGCATCCGCTATTTATCCGATAAAATGTAAATGGAGCCATGGAATATATTGCTTCTATTTGCCCTTTTAATTTCCTGTGTTTAACTTATTTAAATTCACGATTTATGACTGCTGTACCTTAGGTTTAGCGATTAGGTAGCTAGTCTATATTGAATATAGCTACTAACTCCCCTTATATACCCAGTTAAAATGTAACGTTATATATACAATATGTCATGATATCCTGCCACATTATACTTTGCCTTTAAAGGTAAATAAAATTATTCAAATAAGGTAATCTCCATATATTTAAAAACTGGCCACCCTATTTATATATAGATTATCTGCCGAGCAGTAGATGCGACAGTAGAATCATATAAGCAACGTCGCCATCTTCAAAAAATGCAAGCGAAAGCTCAATCAAAATCTTTACTGCAATCGTCAAATTTATCATCAGTGAGTATTGTTTTGCTTTCAGTTCCGCTTTAATTTTAGATGATAATTTGGTCAATTTTTTACTATTTGGATTAGATCTAAGTTTACGATAATAAATCAGCTATACATGCTATAATCTATTTTGGGTCTATTTCTTTATTCATTCTTAGCTATCCCTACGACAAATAACATGCATACTTCTGGCTCCACCATTACTTCAAAAATTATCAAAATTTGCTTTCCTACAAATATTGGACATCCTCAAGTCGGCTAATTTTGAAGTAAAAGCCATGCGAATGATCTGGCTTACCGTGGATCACGCACAATTTTTCCACATGATCATAGATCATAAATCGCAAAATTCTGGACAAAAGGTTCGATATTTTTATGATATCATTTACACTTTTCCTTTCAAAATCCTTGAATCGATCAATTATCGACATTACTGTTAGTAAATTGGAATAGACTTACTCTCATCATGAAGTTCCTTTGTCATTAGTAGTTAATTTTAAAACTTTTTATCGATGTTAATCGCTAAGTCAGATCGTTCTATTCTACAGGTGGGACTTTTAACACAAGCTCCATGTCTAATCATGGCAGCAGAAAGGGATAATGCTATCTCATGCTTCGATAGCATCATAGAAAGGTATTGTACGAGATTGTAATAAATAGAGCCTTCGCAATCAAATTTGCGAGAGGTATATTAGTTCTAGCAGATACAAATCAATTAAATAGAAATTTATGACGAAATAAAAGCAGTTAATGACTCTTTTATATGTACAGATTTGATCAAAATTCAATTATTAAGAAGCACGAGAAAGAAATTTTCATGGCTAAGGCGGAAAAAGAGGTTATTCTTGAAATTTATTTAAGACACAATTTACATAACTAGGATTTAATAGCAAATTCAATCTGCGTAGAGCAGTATTATCTGTCTCTGGCCTATTAACTACTCAATAACAGTAACTATTTTTACGTATATCGCATTTCTTAGGCTGATATATTATTGAAGTTCTTTTTCGAATCGATATCTTCCCTTGGCAGCAAATAATCATACAAATATAGAACTTAGTGCAGATTATGTGTTGAAGTGATACAAATATAATTACTAATTATTCTTCCAAAAAATTTAATTCAATTTCAAAAAATTTAAACTTTTATATTTACTTTTGAAAGATGTATATAGGCTATTTTTTGATAGCCAAGAAGTTATTTATATACAAATGCTCATTAGCACTAATTTTGTGTTTGTTCTGTTTAATGTATATATATAAATATATATACGAATATATCTAGGTATGGACATTAAATTTTTTATAATTTTTTTCGATGAACTGATGTATTAAAAACGTCAGCTAAGACAAGAAATGCCTTACGGTATTGCTTATACACTTGTAGTTACTTTTTTTTATCGTGTAAATGAAGTTTTAATCGCAATTTAACATATTCCCTAATTTATATTGAACTACTATTAGTTTGATCTAATTAGTCTACTTTTGTAACAATACGGTAATAAATACCTACAACCTTTTTATTACGACAAATAAAACAATATATCACATTATGTACAAATATTTAATTAAGTTATTAATATAAATAAATTATGGAATTATTAGTTTCTAATCCCAAGACACCAATAGAATTGAACAATTAAACCACAGCAAGTTGCTTCAGCAAACATTTTAATCGTGCTGTAAAGTTTGATTAATAAAACTTAACGAGTTTCACCTTCTGCGATGCTTAAAGTCATGTCGCGAATGAGAACGAGGGCCAGAATTCCATACCTGTCCAAACAGTGGAAGCCTATACACCGAATAATTACAAAGTGAAAATCTAGTCTTATTTCTATGCAAGTTTCTCACAGCAACAAAATAAAACTTACCAGTTTTCATTAATGGTCGTTGTTCTATCATAGTTAGCTCCTATTCTTTTAGGGTTTTTTCTTTTAGCCTCCTCGTTTGCTACTGTTACAATGATATATAGCAGAAATTGCTTTCAGTTACTGTTGCAATCATAGTCTAGGTAAGGTACTTCGGCAAGAAACACACCATACCTTGCTGTTGGAAGGCTTCTTGAGAAGGGCCAATTTCTTGTTTTTGATCCTTCTCACAAAAGAAAATTGACATTAAGATCACTTAAGATCGCTCTGTTTTGAAATCTTAAGTTATTGACATGATTAAATAAATTTTTGTCTTGTCACACCTCATCCGGTAGCAACCAAGGGGGTGTAGCTCCTATAAAATACAACCATACAGATCAACGAAGACATTTAGAAGCTCACAATGATTCTAATATCGCATTTAATTGTAAACTTTACCATTGCTTACCAGATAGAATATTGCCTTCATTTTCATCGTCCTATTTGTATGGCCAAGTTTGAATTTTGTAAAAATTTACAGAATTAAAAGCTTACAAAATGATATGAAGACGGAAGCTCAATAGCAGCAAAGTATATACTTTCTGGCACTTACAATCGGAACGGGAACTTTACCTATTTAAAATTTACAAGATATATTTAACTTTATTGTTGCTTTGCAAGACCATTGTACAGTATAGTTTGTTCAATGTAAGAAATGTTAGCAGAATTATGGTTAGAATTAACATAAAGAAAATTACAACATTTAACTAACATGATTCTTCGTCAAGATCAATTGGCCAAGGAAACCACTGATCAGATTGCCGGCTGAAAGATATAATGTAATAATTTAAAAATCATTCCTTTACCACTGAGGCTCATGCACTGAAGGCTTTCATTGAATACGTATTATGGATTATTGGTAAGTAGAATACGCTTAAATAACCTGTATTTTACAATGCCACCACCCCAAACTCGAGTGCCATCATGCCTACATAAAATATTATTCAGTTAATTAATAAGGTGTGTTTAACACAGAATTGTTGCTATAATACGAATAATAGAATACAGGTGCTATTATCTCAATAATAGCAGTCTAACCATCCGGTCGGATTTTGTAAAATACCAAGAGAGCTAGTGACCGTAGTATACGTAACAGCGTGATGTTGTACATCTTGATGAAGCTAAATCAAATTCAGGAATAGTTTTTGAAGATAAATTGATAAAGTACATCATTAAGGGGCTAATAATAGTGACCGTCTGTAATGTAAGGCGGTTTGATTTTAGGATACTAGCAGTATAAGCGACTTTAGGATTTCGTCTTTTTGATTTCATATCGCACCTTGCTTATACTAGTCCTGTTTTGCTCCTGTTGCTTGATTTCCTGAGCCAGCTACAATTGCAAAATAAAGAAACGTCCTATTACTCTATTCTAGTAAACTATCTACTAATGGTACAGGCATTCGTTCTTCTTATGCATTAATCATATGGTCTACCTTGAGGGTATCTTCTTCTCGTTTATCGAACATTTGCCCCAATACCTGATCTAGTGTGACTTTATACCTTAAATTTAATAAGTTGATTAATGACATAAACAGTCCACTAATGAAATTAAGGTCAGACGATTAAAGCTATAGTAACAATGCCTGACGATGAGCTACTCATGATTCATTTAAGATATCAAAGACATCTACGAGATCTTGATATTTTTAAAATCTTTCTTGCATACACACTGTACGAATTAAAATCTGTTACAGTTTTCATTATTAAAAATTAGTACTACAATTACAGAGGATCGAGATAAGACTAGTTGGATTTCTACGTATAATCTGATATTATTTTATACTGCTATTATGAATTTACACTGTATTAGACTATAGCAATATTACAGGTTATGACACAGGCTGGACCGCTAATAAGATAACGAACATGATGGCTATTTTTTAATTCTACTGTAAACTTGGGTTATTCATTTACGATAGTATTTGAATACTATTAAATCAAGTGATAACGGAATTTGAGTAGGATATCTCGTATTGATATAACATCTCAGCTACTTTGTTCTTACTTGGAGAAATCATCTTTTAAGATGTAAAACTCCTTTTTCTTATTATTGTCGATGCCATGCCGAATCCAAAACTTATGCATATTCTTGTAATGTTCTGAACTGTAAGATAACGTATCATTTCAGGTAAGATAAATACTGTTAGCAACGTTCAATTTCTATAGTACAAGACTGAATGCTTTCATGATTACTAACCTTGCCAAATGTTCCAAACTACCACCATTTATAACAGTTACTTGATCATTGGTGATATTTTTAGTTACACTCGATCTACAAATATGGCACCAAAAGGTTAAATTGGTCTGGTAATCGCCATCTTCTACTACCGGCTTTACCAGAAATTCTCGAATGCTTGCAATCTACAAGTCATACAATCATTGAAGATTAGTAATCTAGATTGATATAGTGAAAGCCAGAGCTGTCATGAAATATTAATAACTGTCCAATCTTTCCAACTTGTCATGCTATTTCATTTAACAGTAGACAGTCCTAGAAATCTATATGTCCACTGTTATACAGATCAGGTCATGGACAGGAACGAAGGAATCAATCATCACACCTATAAACTTTTATCAAGTTGCCATTTTCTAATGCAAATTGCAAGCATGTATATATACATTATAATGGATACTGCAGTAGCTGGTGCTTCAATACGCATATAAATGAAGGCTACAATTTGTAACTTACATGTTGCTGAAATTTCTCCAATAGGATGTCTAGTTTTTTCTTATGCTTATTGGAGTATTTATGTTTCTTACCACAGCAATGATTAATTCTACATATTTCGCAGTAATCAGCGGTAGCGGGTAGCTCATTCATTTTATGAATTTGCCTTGATGGTGACCATAGCAATTAGGAGCGAGGATTTTCGGAGGGGGCTGTTATGCTGTAGTAAAAGCAGTTGCAAATTAACTCGACCGGACTGGTTGTTCCTTTCATACAATGTTAGTGACAGTATTGAATGCATGATACAGTACACTCTCGCTGTATCGTATATTCCGTCCGTCTTGCTGTATGCCAGGCTCGACAAAAAGTCATGTCAGGTAAATTGATCCTTCGCCTAGTGTAAACACTACTCTTTACATGACATAAGTTTTGCTCGTCATTGAATAGTCGTAGCCTACAAAATAAAAATGAATAAATCATGTACTCTTGTGGCCAAACCAGCTACTATACTGCAAATTAGAGACACTCGAGAAAGTCTTTACTGTAAATTAGCATAGAAAATTATGATTACTAACTACTGTAGGTAAATTCCCGTTCAAATCGATAGGTATATACTGTATATATGTATTCTACATAAAGCAATACATTAAAAAGAATTTCCCAGCTAGATTATTTCTTACTACTGTATGTATATATATACTGTATGCTTCCTAGATAGGTATAAACCGCGCAATGCTGGAGAAAATCGATAGAATAAATACGTTATTGACTTATTTTAGCATCCACAAATCCTCGATATGAAGGTATGGTATCTCTTAGTGCGCAATCATCCTAATGGGTGACATTCTTTTTTCCCTCTACCTATACAGAGTAGTATCCAATGTGCAAAATCTTCTGTCATCTATTGCATTTGCTATGCGTCAGTATTTTCCTGTCTGCTTGCTGTTCATGAACAGAAAGAGAGGGAAAGAAGGCGCGATAGTTTCATGTTAGCTCTACAATACCCTTAATCTCTGCCATGCAATGACACTTTAATTCTGATATGGACTTGCGGTGCAACTATTGCCAACTTCGACTGGGATACTGCATGGTAGTCCATGATCGATGGCAATGAATCGATAAATACTGTATGATACCCAAGGTGCTCAAATAGAACTCGATTGCCATACTATCACCCTTGCACTTTTTACACTTTAATTCTGATGCGGACTGGCAATGCAATTATGGCCAACTTTGCCTAGACTGGATACTAGACATAGGTAGTCCATGATCGATGACGATCAATTTACAATATTGTAGGATAGCTAAGGTGCTTAAATAGACCTTGATTGCCATACGATCACCCTTACTTTCTACCTGCTTTCTACTTAAGTGCTTCCATTGGCATTACAAGGCGATGACGCCATTGCTTGGATTCAACTGGAAATCAATACAGTTATTAAAATCGAACGCGAAAGCAATAGAAATCCTCTATATTTTCTTGCTGTACGCAACACTACCCTCAGACGTGAAGTGATCACTCGGACAGACAGACTTTCCTAAATCGATGAGGTTGTCAAGATTGAAAAATGGCTACCTAGTACGGATCATCCGTGTCTGTTTTCTAAATCCCTAGTACTAATTTTAATAACATTGACGATCTTATATAGCTATTTCCAAGTAGAACTTACTGACAGATAATAAGATTCAACGTAATATTACTTCATTTAGAAAAAAAGCAGTCCATTTAACATCGACCATCTTCATACTAAAGCATTGTCACAACGCAGTGTTTGGCGCAAGATTTGCAAGGCCAAATGGTCCGTCCGTCCAAGAATGATCCGTCCAGGTCTTCTTCAAGTTGTCCGCTCAGTATGCTACTATACTATGCTGAACAGTACTCAGTAGAGCATAGTAATTCCTGTACAGTACGTTCCGACCTGGGAAATAGAAACCAGGCACTACATTGCTAGGCAATCATTCATTGAAGATCATCGAATCAGCTGGATTAGAGACCCTTAGACATTCTGTTGTGGTTGGAGGATGTAGAGAATATAAATCTGCCATTTCTATCGTGTTGGAAGTAGTTCTTGCAGAGTTAATATGGCATGTAGTCAGGCTGTTGAAGATATTCATTCATTCACTAGTAAAACGCTAGACTTATTAGCTTTAGAGAGGCAAGAAGAACTCCACCAGTCTCGTGCATTAAGAGAGCTGAAAAATTGCAAAACATTAGAAAAATTAGGTCTATGTTTATCCAAATTATATTTGACCAATTGTCGATCAGGATTATATGGACGGACACTATTGACGTTTAATAAGTACAATCGGCAGTTATTGCCAGCTCATGAATTCACTGCAGGTAAAGTGGATTGATCAACTCAATTCTGTGATTAAAATTGTAAAGGCAATTTGAATACGTATACAGTAGATGGATCTGTTGTATCGAAATGGAAGATTTTTGATAGGGTAAAGCTTATTTCGCGTAGTTGTGACTCAAGTGTCTCAAAAATGAAATGATGAGAACTTTCTTGTCTAGTTGATGTCATGTTATTACATGAATTAATTCTGAAGCCGACAACTATCTACATTTATCTCAACAGCAATGAATAGACAATTGTACAAACATACAATCTAACTCGACAAACATGATTCTAGTTGGACTCTACATGATAGTCATGTCCTAAAAATACTGAAAAATAATAAATCTTTTAATTTAGGGGACATTGTCAGAATCAACTTATCAAACGATCGAAATCAGCATATAGGACAAGGTGTTATTAATCAAGTGAGCGATACCCAAGTTGGCATCGCATTGGATGAGAGTGCAGAACAATTAGAGGTGGATTATCAAACTACCTACGATATCATAAAACTATGCAATGATGTCACCTACAACAGGCAAAAGAGGTAATAAAAATATCGCTAAAATCATCATTTTACTCTTGATAGATTTTATATCTAAATTGTTTCTTGTAAAGGTAAATTGCTTAATATAATATTTTCATGTCTATGTTATTCCTCCAATAAGTACATTTAATACGAGTGTAATGAATGGGCATAATTAGCTCCATAAAATTCTCAATCTAACTCACAGTACAAAAAGGACAAGTGTGTTGTTTTATAGTGTAAATCACAATCTACATATACTCTAATGGGTAAAGCCGACTCTTCGATGCTACACAATTGTTTACTGTATCCTATTATCATATTTTCATGCATGAATCTGCTGTACTGTAATGAGCGGAAATCATTACGATGAGCATTGAGTAGACTTTATTTGTCTTTTTAATATATTAGAGCTATCAAAGAATTGGACAATTATCGTGATGGCATCGCATCTCCTTTAATTGATATTATTTATGGAAACGCCCCTGTAGATGGCAGGACGAAAAAATTATCTCAGCCACAACATTATTCTGATAACACATCCATTGACAAATCCCTCAATAACAATGATAATAGTGAAGCTAGGATTTGCGATGATGATAGTAGTTATTGGTTTAACAAATCACTCAATGAAAATCAAAAACAGGCTGTTCAATTTGCTGTATCTCAATCTCATCTTGCAATCATCCACGGCCCACCTGGTACTGGCAAAACAACAGTGGTCTTGGAGGTTATCTTGCAGTTGGTTCTCAAGTGGAAACTCAAAGTTTTAGCATGTGCCCCTTCTAATATTGCCGTTGATAACATGGTTGAGAAATTATCGATATTGAACAAAGGTCTACGCAAAGATAATAAAGTCAAATTTATACGCCTTGGTCATCCTGCAAGATTGTTAAACCATCTACAGGTATCATTGATCATCGACAGATGTTTTGAACTAAATTGCTGGCAATTGCTTGCTTATGTTTAATTCCACTGTATTGCTAATTGATATTGTAATAAGCAAATATCCGGTACGTATAACACCAATTCTAATAATAATCATATTACTATACATTTTTAGTCTCACTCTCTAGATGCTGTTCTTTCGTCAGCGGATAGTGCTGATATTATCAAAGATGTTCGAAATGACATAGACAAAGCGATATCATCATTTCATAAAGCTAAGAGTGACAGAAGGCAAATACGCCATGAAATTAAATTACTTAGGAAAGAACTCAAAAAGCGTGAACAGAAAGCAACGACCGAGACTCTTACAAATTCTGACGTTATACTAGCAACCTTAACTGGAGCATCGGATGAGGGGCCATTACAGTACTTGAGCGATAATCACGTTGATGTTGTTATTATTGATGAAGCTGCTCAAGCAATTGAAGCAAGCTGTTGGATTGCTCTTCTACGCTCTTCTAAATGTATTTTAGCTGGTGATCATTTGCAATTGCCACCAACCATATTATCTGATAAAGCTGCCGATAAAGGCTTAGCTGTTACATTAATGGAAAGACTTGTCAACAGATTTGATGAAAAGTGTGTCAAAATGTTGAAAACGCAGTATCGTATGAACTCTAAGATAATGCAGTGGTCGTCCAATGAATTCTACCAGAACAAATTAGTTGCTGCTTCCAATGTTGCTAATCAGTTGTTGAGGTTTGTAAATTCTTTACTTATAGACTATCTGTCTGATAACTTTTATATACCTATAATTGTGTTCATGTTGTATTTTTAAAAACTATAGAGACTTACCTAATGTTAGCGACGATGAAAATACCCGCATTCCAATCGTATTGATTGATACTGCTGGCTGTGATTATCACGAAATGGAAAATACTGAGCCTGATCAACCGTCTCGTGGTAATGAATATGAAGTCAACCTAGTAGTTATCCATGTCGAAAAATTAATCAACGCCGGAGTAAAATCATCCGACATCGGAATAATTACACCGTATAATATGCAAGTAGAATTACTACGTCTAAAACTAGCAAAGGTATCATTAAATATTGAAATAAAATCAGTGGATGGTTTTCAAGGTCGTGAAAAGGAAGCGATTATTATCTCGCTTGTTAGATCAAACGAGAAAGGTATTTATTTATTTATTCAGATATTTATACAATGTTATACTATGGTGAATACTTTCTTAAGCTATCATATGTAAAGTCTGTATGTAAACTGATCGTAATTCTTAGGCGATGTTGGTTTCCTATCGGAATATCGAAGAATTAATGTTGCAGTTACTCGTGCTAGATGTCACTTAGCTGTCATTGGAGATTCTGAAACAGTTAGCAAA